AATACACCTTTCTCTTCCTTAATTTAAAAACAAATGTTTACTGGGGGCTGGAGCTGTGGTGTGGTAGGTTGAGTCTCCGCCTGCAGTGCCAGCATCTCATATGGCTCCAGTTCATGTCCCAGCCGCTCCTCTTCCAATCCAGCTCCCTGTTAATGACCCTGGGAAAGCAGTGGAAGGGGCCCAAATACTTGGGTCCCTGCACCCACGTGGGAGACCTAGAAGCAGCTTCTGGCCCTTGGCTTTGAGTCTGCCCAGCTTCAGCTATTGTGGCCATTTAGGCAGTAAACCAGTAGATGGAAGATTCTCTCTCTGTCTCTCCCTCTCTCTGTCTCTCCCTCTCTCTGTCTGTAATGCTGCCTTTCAAATCAATAAATAAAATCTTTAAACAGGCCGGCACCATGGCTCAATAGGCTAATCCTTCACCTTGCGGTGCCGGCACACCGGGTTCTAGTCCCGGTCGGAGCGCCGGATTCTGTCCTGGTTGCCCCTCTTCCAGGCCAGCTCTCTGCTGTGGCCAGGGAGTGCAGTGGAGGATGGCCCAAGTGCTTGGGCCCTGCACCCGCATGGGAGACCAGGAGAAGCACCTGGCTCCTGCCTTCGGATCAGCGCAGTGCGCCGGCCGCAGCACACCGACCGCGGCGGCCATTGGAGGGTGAACCAACGGCAAAAGGAAGACCTTTCTCTCTGTCTCTCTCTCTCACTGTCCACTCTGCCTGTCAAATATTAAAAAAAAAAACTTTAAACAAAATTAAAATTATGTTTGTGTGTGTGTTTATTTGAAAGGCAGAGGGGGCAAAGATCTTCCATCTTCTTGTTCACTCCCCAAATGCCCACAGTGGCCAGGGCTGGGCCAGGTCAAAGCCAGGTGTCTGGAGCTCCATCCGGGTCTCCCACGTGGATGGCAGCAGGCACCCAAGTGCCTGAGCCACACCTGCTGCCTTCTCAGCGTGCACATTAGCAGGAAGTTGCATGGGAGTAGAGGAGCTGGGACTCAAACGAGGCAGCTCCACGTGGCATAGGGTTACAGGGTGAGGGCATCACAAGCAGCGTCGTCACTGCTCTGCCACATGCCCCCCCCCTCCCCGGTCTTTATAAGGGAAGGGCTCTGAACAGGTGCTGCCTTTCTCTTCCTCAGGGAATTACTTCCCTTGCTTAAAGAACACTCAGTTTTACAATAGATGTTTCTTTCAAGAAGTAAATAGAAATTAATCACTTTCATTTATTTCCAAAAAAGAATTGCCCCCAAAAGGTATCTGCTGCATGTGTCCCAAGGCTGTGCCAGGTCACCCAGTGGCAGGGTGGAGTCGTCGTGGCGGGGGGAGTTTGGCACACGCAGGGGCTTCGGTTCTGGCCCCACTGGACTTCAAGCCGCACAGCAGGAGGCCTGAGCCTGGTTCGAGACTATCCTGCTTTAAGGGTGCAGCCAGTAGGCTGCACTGTGTCGAGTAGAGCTGGGAGCTGAAATGCACTGGGCATGTCGTGCTGGCACAGTTTGTAATAATAAATGCAGCCTGAGAGACAGACACGTGGTGTGAGTGAGGAGGGAAGAAGCAAGCAAGGAGAGGAAGCTCTGTTTAGATTGGGGTTGAGTTGCCCGGGCCTGCTTCTCCGCTTGCACTGTCAAGACACCACCTCCTGTTGTGAGAAAACTGCCCTGGGAAAATGTGTGTGCGTGTCTACCTGTGTGTGCATGTCTACCCACATACATGTGTCTACTGTGGATGTGTCTACCTGTGTGCGCATGTTTATCTGTGTGCATATGTCTTCTGTGTGCACATGTCTATCTGTGTGTGTCTACTTGTGTGTGTGTCTACCTGTGTGCACAAGTCTACCCATATACATGTGTCCACCGTAGACGTGTCTACTGTGTATGCATGTTTACCCATGTGCATGTCTACTGTGTGCACATGTCTATCTGTGTGCATCTACCTGTGTGCACATGTCTACCCACACACACATGTCTACATTGGGCGTGTCTACCTGTGTACACATGTCTACCATGAGTGTGTCTACCCATGTATGCATGTTTACCCATGTGTGCATGTCTTCTGTGTGCATGTGTCTACCTGTGTGTCTCTGTCTACCTATGTGCACATGTCTATGTGTGTGGGTCCCCTACCCAGAGGGAGATGGAGGGTTGCTTTGGTTCTTGCCCTGACTCTTTGACCAAGTTGTCTTTTACATAAAATGGCATCAAAGCTGCCTTTTAAAAAAGTTATTCATTTATCTGTAAATTGGAGTTACAGAGAGAGAGGGAGAGACAGAGATCCTCTGGCTGCTGGTTCACTCCCCAAATGGCCACAGTGGGCCAGATCACAGCCAGGAGCTTCACTCAGGTCTCCCATGTCGGGGGCAGGGGCCAAGCACCTGGACCATCTTTGGCTGCTTTCCCAGGCCATTAGCGGGGGGGCAGGATTGGAAGTGGAGCAGCCAGGACACAGGATGGAATGCCAGCATCGCAGGTGATGGCCTCGCTCACCACCCTGCAGCACTGGCCCCACGTGTGTTGTTTGTTTAAGATTTATTTACCTATCTATTTGACAGGCAGAGACAGAGAGATTTTCCATCTGCTGGTTTACTCCCTAAATGGCCGCAACAGCCGGGGCTGGGCCAGGCCAAACCCAGGAGCCTCATACTCCATCTAGGTCTCCCTTGGGAGTGCAGGGGCCCAAGCATCTGGGCCATCTTCTTGCTGCTTTCCCAGGAACATTAGGAGAGAGCTGGATCAGAAGCAGAGCAGCCAGGATTCGAACCAGCGCTCATACGGGATGCCAGCGTTGCAGGCGGCAGCTTAACCCACAGCACCACGATCCTGGTCCCAGAAACTGGCTTTCTATGAAGAAGAGTTGCTGAGGCCATAAAGGAGTGGCGGGGTGGGGGGTGTCCCTTCTGTAGCCAGCCGCCGTCTGGGCTGTGCCCCTCACAGCAGCCTCCCTGTCCTTGCTTTGTCATCCAGAAGGATCTCTGACAGCCGAGGCTGTGTGCAGGCAGCGTACTTCCTGGTACTTTCACGTGTCTGGTTCTTATACTGGTGCGGATCATTCTAGACACTGGTGAGATTCCTGCCCAAGCCAGGACATCGAAGGCCGCAGTCACAGGATGCAGACAGCCACCGGGGGCCCTGTTGGTGGGAAGAGGGGGTGCGGCTGCCCCCACACCATTGCCCTCCTAGCTCGGGTGCAGGTTTACAGCCTTGTGAACGGACTGACAGTGAGTTACTGTTTCCAAGACAAATGACACCGGACTTAACCAAAATTCACCCAAAATTGCTTTCGAGTCTCAAGAACCATGCACGTGCTAGGGGTCATTTCATTCAGCCTTTGCTTCCTGGAGAATCCAGGAAATGTGCGTAGAAAAAGGGGAAAAGAAGACCTGATGCCCCAGGTCTTTGAGCCCAGGTCAGGATGCATTGCAAGGACTCCTTTTGGTGTCACCCCAGCCCCGGCTGCAAGGCTCCTGAGGCCAGCGCCGTGTCCTGCTGTCCTCTGTGTCTGTGTCAGGCTTGGCGCACCCTCCAGACGTGAGGGGAGAGCACCCAAGTCAGCCGGGCCTTGAGCCAAACATTTGTTCTTGGGATTGTTTTTCTGGTGCTGCATGACAAGCGTGGTGGCCCGTGACACTGCACACGCATGCCGCAGCTCACCGTGCACAGCTGCAGCCCCCGGGGAGGCTCCAGGCTGGCTCCTCCAGCTTTCCCGCCCTGCCTCTCATGAGGCCACTTCCATGTTCACCCAGGTTGTGGACGGGACACGGTCTGGATAGCTGGGGGGAGAAGGGAAAGGGTGGCGGAGTTGGCTAAGCCGGGAGATACACAGATCTTCCACGGGCGTGAGCCCATCACATCTCATCACTACCAGCCCACTGCAAACCACTCAGCCACTTATGTACTCTGTGGGCTGGGGGCTGGAGGGGGCATGGGGGTCGGCAGTTGTAGGGGGGCTCTGAACAGTGACTGGGGACAAGCAGTGGCCCCAGAGGTAGCAGTTAGCTTGAGGCAAGGTTCCCTTGGGAGTTTGAATGAGCCCAGGGAGCTGACGCTGTGACGCTGTGACGAGCCTGCCGGTCTTGGCCTGGTTTCTGTCCTCTCTCCTGAGACAGACAACGAGATCACCCGGGGGGGGTGGGGATGGCCAGGTCCCTCCGTGCCCAGAGAGACTTCTTCCTGCACTTGGGAGGAGAGCGGTGAGGCGAGGTTACAGGGACCTTGACTCTGAACCGGCTTTGGGGAACTTTTAATTTCCTTTGGATCAAATGTGCCCCCCAATGCCACCTTTCGGGGAGGTGTCGTCCTCTGAGCCCCAACACAGCTGTCGGTCTGGGGTCCCCGCTTCCTCGCCAACTGTCAGCTGAGGCCATGGACGTGCCTCCTCCTGTGGCCCTGGCGGTGTCTTCAAAGCTGACATGGCATCGCTCGCACACTTTCCCTCCACCCCAGAGGAGACCCTCTACTTTTAACAGGCTCGTGTGGTTGGGTTAATCCTACCTGGACACCTGAAAGTTCTGGCCCCTGCGTGACCTTGTACAGGTGCCATGGCCTCTTTGAGCCTCCTCCGTGGAGGCTCACCTGAGAGCAGTGCCGGTGGGGGGGTTGCTTATTCTGTTTCTGTCCTCCCCTTGTTGGCATCTCCTGACACAGATACAACAGAGTTCCCAAGGGCCATCTCTGTGGGAAGTGCTTGTCATTCGACAAAGTCCCCATGACCCGCCTTTTTCAGTGTGGAGAAATAAAAAGAGGAGAGGCAGGGCGCCCTGTTGAAACCCTCCTGGCTTCCCCCTGCCCCTTCGGCTCACGTCAGCTGCTGTCCTGGGCCTGCAGAGGGTGGGGGCAGCAGCTCTCTGCCTGTGTCCTTAGACAAGCAGAGCCGGCCCGGCCAGCAGCTGGCCCCTGCCACTCAGCCAAGAGGCTGCCCTGGCCCAGGCCAGGCGAAGGCTGAGGCCACCGCCCAGGCCTGCCTGCCTGCCTGCTCACCGGCCTCTCCTGTCCCTTCTGTGCCACACAGGAGATCCCCCGCGAACTCACGCTGGACGCCCTGCTGGAGATGAACGAGGCCAAGGTGAAGGAGACGCTGCGGCGCTGTGGAGCCAGCCCCGAGGAGTGCGGCCGCCTGCAGCACGCCCTCGCCTGCCTGCGGAAGGTCACGGGCCTGGGTAAGTGGGGCCTGCTGGCCTCCTGTCCCCTGCCTCCACGGGGTGGGGGGGTGAAGGGGACATCTCTCTCCAGGGCCAGCCTGCTCCCCTGGGGGCTCGGGCCCCTGCCTAGGTGGGGGTTGGGATGGGGCAACCACAGCCCCAGGTTTCTGGGGTAGCTGGGAAAGGCCAGGGTGAACCTTCAGAATGTGTTTGATGACCCAAAAGGGAGGCCCCCCAGGGTCCTGGGGCTCTGGATCGCAGTGGGTCTGGCCGGTCTGGACCTGGGAAGACTTGAGCCATTGTTAGAAATCGGCAGACTGGGAGGGCCCTGTGTGACTTCCCTCCGGGGAGTGCATCTGTGCGGGGTTTTGTGCACACTCCGCCAGCTTCCTGCATTCCAGCCCCCGGCCCTTGTCGGCCGGCTGCACTCTGTGCTCAGAGACACCGCGGATGTGGGCTTAGCCTGAGCCGAGATGCTTAGAGTGCGTGCACAGCAAGGCGTGGAATCCTGGCTGCAGGACGAGGAGCTGGGGAATTCTTTGCAGGCTTTCTAGATCTTGCCTTGGAAACAGCTTCGCATGCCTGCCCGATGCTCCCACTGCAGGCCCCGGGCAGATACGCATTGAAATGAGCCTCGTGAATTGAATTAGCCTGTTTTTAATTATCTGAGCCTCTTGTCTGAGCCCCGGCTGCCTGGGGCTTCAGGAAAGCACCGAGGTGTATGTGCTGCTTAGTTCCTGCCGTCCAGGAAGATGAGGCTTAGCTTCCTCCCGAGTCATCTGAACCCAGAACTCAGTGCAGGTTCAGAGAATCGTGACCCGCCGGGCCTCCCTGCAGATGCTGGGTGTAACATGGCAGAGGTGTGGTGCTGGGTGTAACATGGCAGAGGTGTGGTCAGAATCCTCGTCTCCACCCATACAGAGGAAGCCCTGGGGAGGGGCTTGGGACACACGGCGGTTGGTAGCAGAGCCAGGGTTTGTGCTTCGGGCTCCGCTGGCAGCAGAGGGCAGGAGGATTTGTCACTGGAGCTGAGGCCCCTAGGGTCGCCTCTCAGACCCCACCCCCGTCCCCCTTATGCAGGGGTTTTCAAGGAGCCAGCTGTCGCGTGGTACTGACCTGCCGGTGTCACGAAGGCCGCCGTCTGCCTCCCACAGATGCCGAGATGGGGAGGGGGCACTTAGTTGGGAAACACCTGCCGTGTGCCTGGCACATGACACGCTGGAGCCACACCCTTCACAGAGGAGGCATGAAGCAGCAGAGCAAGGGGCGCACTGGCGGAGGGGTCTGGGCTCCCACATCCGGCGCAGGGCAGAGCTGGGCTCTGAACTCAGGTTGCCTCCTCAGAGGGCCTGGGGAGAGGAGCCTTTCCCAGGTCCCGCCTCATTCAGTGCCAGCTCCTGGGGCCCCTGCCTCCCCAAGAGAGTCCTGGCCATATCCCAGGCCAGGGTGCAGGCCTTTCGACTGCCCTAGCCATGGCCACGCTTCCTGGACACCTGCTAGGGACTGGGTGGGTACCGGCAATGCCTATCTTTAGGGTCCACTGTTGGTGCATCTTCACGGCACCTAGACAGGGTGCAGTGACGGCAGCCTGAGCTCCGTGAAGGCGGGCCGTGGCAGCAGACTGCCGAGAGCTGGCCACTCGGAACCCGTGGGGCCTCGGCCAGTTACTTAACCTCTCTGTGGACTTCTCCCGTGAGGTTGCTGTGAAGATGCACAGGGTTAAAGCGAAGTGTTTAGACCAGAGCATGCCATAGCTTAGATGCCCTTTCCCACATTAGGCCTGTGGGGTGATGGAGTATGTTGGTGCCATTTGCAGTGTGGTCTCTGGTCCTAGAGGGTGAGTGAGCGATGGTTCTTTGTGCTGGTGCATAGGGACGACCATTCCCGCTGATACTCCCTATCCTTCACCCACAGCAGACATCACTAATCAATCCGTGAATGCTTATACTGAGTGACTCCAGCGTGGCTACTGCCAACTGACTGGCACTGGCCTGTGCACCAAGACCTGTTTGCCATCCCTGAGCTGGCCCAGAGCAACAGTGATTAAATAGGCTGTTTGAAGAATGTGGGGCTTCTTTCCCTGGGTGGCAGACTTGCTCAGAGATTCATGGAATCTGTTCTTCATCCACTTAGCAAGAAACCTGTGTTTAGTGCCTCCCCCAGGCCAGTAGAGAAGCTCAAGTGTAAATCAGAGGCAGGACGACCCGTCCTGCCTCCCTGTGCCATGAACCTGGGGGAAAGTACAAACCAAGCTCATGACTTGGGGAGGCTGTGGAGGCGGGGCTTCATCACCTCTGACCTCTGACCCAGAGCTGACCCAGTGTGGGTTCCTCAGAACGCATGGCATCATGGGAGGAGGCATAGCGCTGTGGTCAGGGCTGAGGGGTTCACCTCCCATCCCACTGTTGCCTTTGCTGACCGACCTTGGTGGTGTGGGTGACCTCCCCTGTCACGGGGGCTGTGGGAGGCAGGGCTTCTGCAGGACGTGGTAAAGGCCTCCAGGGCAGAGGTCACTTTGGGTCAGCCTTGACCTTCCTCGCTCTACGTGTGGATAATTCTGAGAGAGGGGGTGGGTGTCTTCTCCTTCCTGCTGTCGCAGCTCGCCCATTAGTACCGCCCGCCCCCACCGCCGTGGCCCCGCCAAGGCAACCGCAGGCAGGACTTGGACTTCAGCACGTCTACCACAGGCTGGCTATTAAGTTTATGGTTCTATATGGCCCGTGAATGCCGATGTAAATACCCAGACAGCCTGCGGCTGAGTAAAGGTTGCCCTCCCCTGACCTACAGGAACAAACCCGGAGTCCTTAACAGACAGACCAGCCTCCCTGAGCTGGCCGTGCCGCCCTGAGCCCTCCAGCCTTGCCCCGCCTTGCCCTGACCTCGCAAAGCACACGGAACACTCTGTAGTGATGGAAGGTGCCGCGTGCTGTTCCCTGTGCGTACGCTGCTCCCTTTGCCCGGGACACCCTTCCCCCTCCCCCCCCCCAGCTGCCTCAGCCCTGACCCCAGCCTCCCCAGGCCACTGTCTCAGCAGACGCGTCTCCCTGTCCCAGTGCTCCGCACACTGAGAGCTCCCATGGGCCTCTGTGGGCACAGCAGACAGGTCTGTCTGCCTTGTGCATTTGCACCCAGCACCCAGCCTGCACATGGAGCAGTGGACGGATTGCACCATCGACACAGAGCCCCATGGAACCTCGGGTTCTCCTGGGGCTCAGCTCCCAGTGGGGGCAACCAGAAGCCCCTCACGGGCGCCTCTCAGAAGAAAGTGGCTTTGCAGCCTCTCTGGCTGGATCTTTGTTCCGCAGCCCAGGGCAGCCCTCTTTCCTGCTGTTTGGATTTTCTTGCCCCAGACTTTTCCCTTCACACACCCGGCTTCCCTTTCCTAACCCGTAAAGGGGTCATCAGCTTTCGGGTGGGCTTCCCAGCCTGCACCCCCAGTCCTGCCCGCAGGAGCCCAGCACAAGCCATTCCCTCCCTGGGCCTCCTTCCCCGCTCTGTGAAGCCCATTTCAGAGTAGCACCCGCCCTGGGGGCCTCACTCACCGTCAGCAAGAGTGTGAATGCTGCATGTGCAAGAGAGATGCTCTTACAAACCGGGGACAGGCTGGTGTCTGAAGCTTTCCACAGATGCTCTGTGCAACCTTGGACAAGGCAGTTAACCTCTCTGGACCCTAAGTCCCTTCACCCGTTCCAGCCCCAACCATCTGCGACTCAGCTTCTTGACCCACAGGAGGAGAGCACAAAGAGGACTCAGGCTGGAGTTCAGTGGATGCTCGGCGGGAAAGTGGCTCTGGGCCTCCCACGGACACCCTCCCTCCAGCCAGCCTGCCCTGGACACCAGGCAGCTCCCAGCTGGGCAGAGGGGGCAGCAGTACCCAGGGCCCACGCTCCGTCTCCGTGTCAGCCCTGCCCGCCTCGGACTCCGCAGCCCCTGGCCTGAGCGAGGGCCTCTCGGACACCTGCCTCCCGCTGCACGCCAGCGGGCGGCTCACCCCCCGCGCCCTGCACAGCTTCATCACGCCACCCGCCACGCCCCAGCTGCGCCGGCATGCCAAGCTGAAGCCGCCACGGACGCCCCCGCCGCCCAGCCGCAAGGTCTTCCAGCTGCTGCCCAGCTTCCCCACGCTCACCCGGAGCAAGTCCCACGAGTCGCAGCTCGGGAACCGCATCGACGACGTCACCCCCATGCGGTGAGTGCTCCCGCCGCAGCCGCAATGGGCCAGCGCTGCGGCTCAATAGGCTAATCCTCCGCCTGCAGCGCCAGTACCCTGGGTTTTAGTCCAGTTCTAGTCCAGTCTAGTCTCCTCTTCCAGTCCAGCTCTCTGCTGTTGCCCGGGAAGGCAGTGGAGGATGGCCCAAGAGCTTGGGCCCTGCACCCGCATGGGAGACCAGGAGAAGCACCTGGCTCCTAGCTTCGGATCGGCGCGGTGCACTGGCCGCAGTGGCCTTTGTGGGGTGAACCAACAGAAAAGGAAGATCTTTCTCTCTGTCTCTCTCACTGTCCACTCTGCCTGTCAAAAAATAAATAAATAAAAAAAATTATGCTATGTATTTGAAGGGCACAGTTACAGAGAGAAAGAGAGAGAGAGAGAGAATGTTCCATCTGCTAGTTCACTCCCCAGATGACCACAACACCCAGGGATGAGCCAGGAACTCCATCCAGGTCCCCACTTGGGTGGCAGGGACCCAGGTGCTTGGTCCATCTACTGCTACCTTCCCAGGTGCATTAGCTGGGAGCTGAATAGGAAGTGGAGCAGCCAGGACTGGAATGCTGGCATCCAGTTCCACTGGATGCTGGCATCACAGGCAGCGGCTTAACCCACTGTGCCACAGTGCTGGCCCCGCACCAGGAGTTTTGCCTACGATTCTCTCATCATGAAGTGTGCACAATGCCGGTGCCACGGCTCAATAGGCTAATCCTCCACCTGTGGCACCAGCACACCGGGTTCTAGTCCCAGTCCGGGCGCTGGATTCTGTCCCGGTTGCTCCTTTTCCAGTCCAGCTCTGTGCTGTGGCCCGGGAGGGCAGTGGAGGATGGCCCAAGTGCTTGGGCCCTGCACCCCATGGGAGACCAGGAGAAGCACCTGGCTCCTGGCTTCAGATCAGCGTGGTGTGCCAGCCACAGCACGCTGGCTACAGCGGCCATTGTGGGGTGAACCAATGGAAAAAGGAAGACCTTTCTGTCTCTCTCTCACTGTCCACTCTGCCTGTCCAAAAAAAAAAAAAAAAAAAAGTGCACAAAAGACAAGGCAAGTCAGCCATACAGAACTGTGCAGTGTGGGAGCCACAGGCGCTCCCCACTCACACCAGGCCCTGACGGCCTTAGCTGGCTGAGCTGAATCCTGCTGGTTCCTGCCTGCACACACACAAAGGGTAGGCTGGGTGAGGCCACGTGAATGAGCGCACCCACAGCTCTGGGGCTTAGAACAACGAGGACTTGTTTCTCACTGTCCAGGTGGGTCAGACTCTCTCCAGGTCCCAGGCTGGCCAAAGAGCCACTCTCTGGCATGTGCTTGGCCCCTGTGGCGGAGGGAATGGGGCATTCAGGTCCTGGACACTGTTGGTTGAATGCCAGCTCCACACCTGCTGTCAACTCACCAGGATTGAAAAGTTCAGGGAAAAACTGTCGCATCGCTGCCATTGTCCTCTGTCACTGCCAATGTCACGCGTGGCCTCTGTAGTCAGGCTCGTGATGCACTGACATGATGACGGGTTTGTGTCGTTATTCCGAGCAGTAGTGCGTAACAGCTGTTTACACGGCCTTTGCATTGCGTTAGCGCTATCCGGAAACCCGGGATGATTCCAAGTGTGCGGAAGCGGTGTGCACAGGTTCTCAGCGAACACTGCGCCTGAGGCACTGGAGCCTCTGCCGGGGACCCAGGCCCCGCCCCCACAGACTCTGCGGGACAGCTGTCCTCCTTCCACTCCCTGGTCGGGGCCCCACCCAAGGCAGGGAATTGGCAAGGGCCGTCCTCCTGTGCACCCAGAGGGGGAGAGCTGGCATATTTGGCTGAAACCACAAATGACTGTCACGTATGGTGCACGCTGTCCTGTGACTTGTGCTCACCTTGACGTGTGTGACAGCATCACACCAGGCAGCTCCCAGCTCAGTACATCTTTCTTTTTTTTTTTTTTTTTAAGATGTATTTATTTATTTGAAAGGCAGAGTTACCCAGAGAGAGAGGAGGGACAGAGAGAGGTCTTCCATCTGCTGGTTCATTCCCCAAATGGCTGCCAATAACAGAAACTGGGCCAATCTGAAGCCAGGAGCTTCTTCTGGGCCTCCCACGTGGGTGCAGGGGCCCAATCACCTGGGCTACCTTACGCTGCTTTCCCAGGCCATAGCAGAGCAGCTGGGACTCGAGCCAGTGCCCATATGGGATGCTGGCACTGCAAGTGGTGACTTAGCCCTTATTTTTAAAATTTTAATTATTCTTATTTATTTGAGAAGCAGAGAGAGGGAGGAGAGGGAGAGTTCACATCTGCTGATTCACTCCCTAAATGCCCACGACCGCTGGGGTGGGCCTAGGCCAGAACCAGAAGCCTGAAATGCAACCCAGGTCTTCCATGTGAGTGGCAGGAACCCAGTCACTTGAGCCATCACTACTGCCTCGTGGGATCTGCATTAGCAGGAAGCTGGAGTTGGGAGCCAGGGCTGGGAGTTGAACTCAGACACGCCAAGTGAGACTTGAAAGGCAGAATCACAGAGGGAGAGAGACACTCAGAGAGAGGTCTTCCATCTGCTAGTTCACTCCCCAAAAAGCCACTATGGCCAGTGCCAGGCTGATCTGAAAACAGGAGCCAGGAGCTTCTTCCAGGTCTCCCACATGGGTACAGGGCTCCAAGCACTTGGGCCACCCTCTTCTGCTTTCTCAGGCACATTAACAGGGAGCTGGATCAGAAGTGGAGCAGCCAGGGCTCCAACTGGCACCCATATGGGACTCTGGCACCACAGGTAGCAGCTTTACCCGCTGCACCACAGTGCCGGCCCCGTGATGGACGTTTAAGCCACTGTTGTTTTTACAAAGATCGCCTCTGTCGGTTTACCGTTTGGGAGCATGTGAAAGGACAGTGTTTCCTTTGGGTGTTCTTCCCTGTGGGTACCCATGAGGGTTGGGGTACTTGACACAAGCACCCCTTTTTCTGGGGGCTCCCAAGGTCAGGTCTGCCTTGGGTGGCAGGGGCTTATTTCCTCTGTCCTGGTGCGGGCTCTTGGGCGCACTCCAGGAGAGACTTGGGCAGCTGTGATGAGCTTGCCACCCAGGGACACCCACCCTGCTGCTCCCGGTCCAGCCGGAAGGGGCTGTGGACCACAGTCTGGGCTGGTCAGAGACGCCTCGTGGGCCACCCCGTGCCTTTGTATCTTCTTCTCCTGAGAAGAGCACAGGCAGCCTTACTCCCACCTTCCAGGCAGAGAACAGGCCCGTGGGCAGGTGACACCAGGCAGGGACACGCAGGCCACCTTGCTGCCCTGGCTGATCCCCCAGGGCCCCAGGGGACTGTGCAGCCCCAGGCGGGATGTCGCTGAGGGCATGTCCCTGCCTGACCCTCCCCGTGGGGCCACCCTTGTACTCCGCACAGCTGTTCTCTCTGCCCTCCTGGCCCAGCTGTGTCCTCTCCAGCAGACGGCCCCCTCCTCCTGTCTGGATCCTGGGTTCGCCCCACCAGTGGGTCCCACGCCCGTTTCCTCAGCTGTGAAATGGGGTAAACTCGCAACCATGCTGGCTGGCTGGGCTTGCGTAAGCTAGTGCATTAAAGTGCACAGCACAGGGTATGATGTCCATGTCCCCTGGGAAAGCTCAGCCAGGGCCCTTGTGGCTCTCTGCGTGGAGACAGTGTCCCTCCCCACAGGGCGGGCGGAGGTTCCCACAGTCGCTTGGCAGCCTGGCCCCAAGCCAGGCCTCAGAGTCCCACATCCCAGCCCCTTGCCTGTTGTCTCCCAGGAAGAATGTTCTAGAACACGCTGACGCAGCACGCCAACATAATCCCTCTCTCTCCTTTTTGTCTCCTTCAGGTTTGGTAAGAGTGATTTCATTTTGGTCCCCTCTGTCGCCAGGAGTGGCGTTCGTGTCGCCGTCCCCGTCGGGAGTGAATTCTTCTGACCCTCTCCTAGCCCACTGGGCCTCTGCATGCATGGCCCAGGAGCAGAGGTGCTGGTGACAGCCGCCCAGGGAGAGAGGCAGCCATCCACCTCCCCACGAGCGGCTCCTCTCTGGGCAGCAGAGACCTGGACAGTACCCTGATCTGGGGGCAAGCCTGTGCCAAGCCCGTTTCCACCTGGACCCCTGTGGCAGGTGCTCTGCCCACTGGGCTGCCGCGGTGAAGAGAGGTCACCACCATCTGCCAGCATAGGTGGGCCACAGCCAGCTCGGACCCCAGCCCGTGTCTCCAGACCCCTTATTTAGGACAAGGACCTTCTCAGGGGCAGCTCTGCAGGAGGCCTTAAGAGCCCAGAGGGTGCCGCTCCCCCTTAGGGCAGGAGGAGGAAGCTCTAGCAGCCCTCCCCAAGTTCTTACATACGGCTGTGCGGTGCGGCCTTTCCCCCAGGAGCCAAAGCAGAGCGAAGCTGTTGTGCCTGTGGACTCGCTTCCAGTTGTCCAAGCGGAAGTCCAGAAGTGTCTGTCTGCTGCCTGGGCAAGACGCCGTTTCTTGGCTGAGTGGGGGTGTATCTGGGGTGGGCTCTTGGCAATGGCGGAGGCAGCAGCTGTGCTTTGGCATGGTGGAGCCGGTACGGGGGTAAGGAAGGGAGACATCCGTGGTTCCCAGGGCTCTTGACAGAGCCTTGGAGGAAAATCTAGCAGCTCTGTCCCTTGCACAGCCCAGGATCTGTCATCTTCCAGACCCCGTGGTGACCCAGGAATGGGGACAGTGCAGCTATTGACCCTTAGGGCCAATATTTCCATCTAGCTCAGAGAGAGTGGATGCCCCGGCTCGTGTGCCACCCCACTCTCCTGTCCTGTGCCAGGGGCAGATGTTACAAGTCGCAGCCTGCATGCAGAGCTGCGTGGCTGGAGCCTCGTCTTCTCTGTGGCTGCCAGATAACCTGTGTGTTTTGCTGGCTGTGGCTCCTGCAGGGTAGGCTAGGCCCCGGGCAGGAGCTGGGACGTACCCCAGATGTGCCAGAGCTGCCGATCAGCAGCAGGGCAGCGCTGGGCCTTTTGTCATCAGAATGCCCTTGGTGTGGGAGGTGCCAGTGCCTCCGGCATGGGCTTCTCTGGTGGATGGGTCTGTGTTCTTGGCTTTCAGAGAACCAGCACTTTCTGAGTGAGCACCAGCTGTGTGCAGGGCCAGCAGTTGGCCAACGAGGGGCAGTGGCTGCCTATCAGGGGCTGCTGACTCAGAGGGCGTGAGCTGGCCACAGATGGCCGGGGCACTGTCCTCCTGCGTGTTCTGGGTCCTTTGATCACTGCATGAAGGTCTTAATTGGCAGGGAAAAGCCCACAGCATCCTGCTGACTGGTCCAGGGGGTTTACAGACCCCTGGCGCCCAGCCAGGGGCTCCAGAAGGAGACAGGGCCACGTGAGTTGAGCATGCAGGCCACCAGTGGACAGAGAGATTGGTTCTTGCTGCTCCTGCATCTCCCAGACCTGCTATGTGGAAAACAGGGTGCCTCTCCTCATGGGGAATCTGGAAGCAGAACAAGCGCCCAGGCCGCCCTCAGGGAGGCAGGCAGAAGGGAAGCTGGTAGCCCTTCTCTCAGCAGAGGAAGGGGTGCCCCAGGTAGCCCCAGAGACAGCCACAGGCAGGGCTGACCCGGGGGGAGTGTGGGACAGCTGCACCTGCGCTCGCTCCACCCGCGGGATCTGGCACTGGTGGCTCTGAGGAGCGTCCTGCAGGCTGCACGGGGCCGCGCTGAGCTGCGGAGCTCGCTGGCCTTGTACCTGTCCCCAGAGGCCGACAACTCCGACCCGCTCAACAGGAAGTAACCCCAGCAAAGCCCTTGCAGACCTGTGGCCTGTGGCCTCGTCCATGAGGGAGTGCGAGAGACTGGGGCGTGGAGGGCTTTGGCCTTCACCTTGGCTGTGCCTGGCCCCTTCTTGAGCTTGCCTGCCTGCACCTGAGCTGGAAACCGCCCAGGCTCAACAGACTGGGCCAACCGCAGAGGCTGGGCAGTAACGGGCCTCAGAGAAGCGAGGCAAGAACAGGGCCACTGTGCTTGCTCTGACCCTGTTTTGATAGACTTGGGTTCCAGGATGTCTCTCCCCTATGTGTTAAACCCTGTGCCCCCACCCAGCCTGCGACCAGGCGGGGGTCCCCCTGACTGCCGGGCTTGGCCCCTTTCCCTGCAGATCTCCCGCACGGATCCCCACAGATGGTACGAAGGGACATCGGACTCTCTGTGACGCACAGGTAGGCCAAGCCGTCTGGGTCAGGAGGGGGTGCAGAGCAGGGCTGGGGAATCCGCCCTGGCTACTGTCTCTTGGGGCTCCCTTGCCTCGTCACCCGCGGCCCCGTGGTCTTGCTGGGGCCTCTCCAGCCCCTGCCTGCATCCCTTCCTCACCCCACCAGTAGGGTCACGGTCACAGGGAGGAGGAGCCAGGAGCTGGAGTGTGACGCTGGCCACGTGCCAGAGCCCCTTGTGGAGCTTGTTGGAGATGCACCTCCCTGAGCTCCTCGCCTGGTGATCGGGATTTCCAACGACTTCCTGACTCCGCCGCCTGGACCCGCTGGGGAGGGCTGACGGGGTTGGTGATGGGGACTGTCCCGCGGTCTTGGCCTCGATGCTCACGAGGCTGATGGATGGCAGCCGTGGGCTGGAGGGCATCTCTCTCTGCCTCGGACTTGGGAAGCCCATGCTCCAGCTGCCCCTGTTCGGGGCTGATGTAAGGGCCCCCGGGGACTCGTACAGGCCTCCCCTGTCCCCAGGGTGCGTGAGCTGCCGTCTGCCGTGAGCCAGGCTGGCCGGGGCTCCCCAGCAGTGAGGAGCATGTCTGAGCTCACACCGTGGGGGCAGCACTGACGCCCAGGAGGTACCCAAGGTTTGTGTTTGAAGCCCTGTCAGGGCCGGGGCACCTGTATTCTGAGTCAGGACTCTCAGGGACAGCTGGGAGAAAGCAACAGTCAGCCACCCCTGGGCTGTCAGCCGTGGTCCTCCAGGGGCCACTAAAGGGATTTTTGAAGTCGGGAACTCCACCTATCCCCCTGTGAGCTGTAGACAGCAGCTGCTCTGAGCCTCAGTTTCCCCATATGCAAATGGGGTGGTGGCATCTTCCTCCCAGTCCCATCATAAGGGTACATGCCCTGAGCCTCACGGGCCGGCCACAGGATTAACTTGGGGCTCCCGAGGGAAACCAGGCTGGCACCCTGCCCTCTTCTGCCTCAATGCTCCTGTGGTTTCCCAGAGCGTCTGGGACCGGGCCAGCCTGGCCCAGCGTTTCCCAGGCTGCTGCTTCCTCTTGTGGCTGCCAGCGCACAGCCCTGCCCCTGCCTTGCCCGGCTGCCCCACCTACCCTGGGGCTTGGGCTTGAGACAATGAGGTCAGGCTCACACCCTCTTGACAAGAAGGCCTGCAGAGTTCCAGTTTAATCATCTGGGGAGGGGGGAGCTGTCCCATGATCCTTCGCTGGCCCAGGACAGCTTTATCCCCTCCCCTCCCCCCGCCAGCCCACCCCCCCCCCCAGCACCTGCCCCTCGGGCCCAGACCTGGCTGTCCTGTAGCCCTGTCGTGAGGATCTCCTGGTGGAGTTTCTCAGATACCTGCAGGTATCAGCCCTGTGAAGATATGGAACTTTCTGTCATTACAGATCAGTTGTTCCCGTACTTGAACTTTGTGGCCATGGAACCACATCGTGTGGCACCTTCTCCTTTTCACCTGACAGTGTGATTTGGAGAACACATTTGGACTAAAAGAGCCCTTGTTTTATGTGCTGGCTGACGAGTGCTCCCTAGCCCTCCCTTGATGGGCTGTCCTTAGGCCCCTGTGGGTGGACTCACGGGTGATTTCCAGGTGGAACGCGTCCCTCTGTCGTGTGACAGCATGAGCGTGTCTGCCGGATGAGTCGCTGGGTCAGAGGACGTGCACACTGGTTGTTCTCGTCGCTGTTTCTGGGTTGGCACGAAGTCTACACTGACTCAAGGGGATTGGCAGTGAGGACTCCGTGGCTGGGGAGGAGCGGTGGTCCCTGGAGAAGGACCCCTGGGCTCTGGGGTGGAGCCAAGTCTCAGTGCCCTGGGACCACGCCGTGGCCAGGCCCCCGCTCCCTACCTGCGTGAGCCTGAGCACCTGTCCTGTCCCCCCCCCCCCTGCAGGTTCTCCACCAAGTCCTGGCTGTCGCAGGTGTGCCACGTGTGCCAGAAGAGCATGATGTTTGGAGTGAAGTGCAAGCATTGCAGGTGCGGGCTCGGGGCGGCAGGGACGGCCCTGCTGAGTCCTGGCCTCAGGCTGAGTCAGAGTCCCGGGATCGGCAGGGCTTCCTGCGGGACCCAGCCGGCCGGCACACGGGGACTGGGCTGGAGGGGACGTCTGTGTGGAGAAGGCAGCGAGCAGCGAGAGCACTCGGGACTGGAAGGCGTTCTGCAGCGCAGCCTGGTGTGTTAGCAGACGCGGGCGGGGAACCCGGGACAGGCTGTGGTGCAGAGCTGACGTCTGCCGGCCTGATCCCACCCAGGCTTCTCACGCCGTGGGGTTTCTGGTGGGAAGGAGGGCCAGGGGGAGGGGGGAGAAGGGGTGAGCAGAACACGTCCTCTGCTCTCTCCCAGTGGACGTGGCCCTGGGGTCTTGGTCCCCTTTGCCCCCCACATTGTTCTATGGCCTGAGGCAGGGTGCATGCCCTTTCTGGGCCTTGGTTTTGTCGCTTCTGACTGCGGAGCTGCGGAGTGCTCCGAGAATCGGAATCAGTATGCAGGAAAGCGACTCATGCCTGCTCCTGGGTCTGGTGTCTCCTGATCTCCAGGGAGTGCCACCTTTCCCTCGGGTCTAGGTCCCCGCCGGCTCCTGGCCATTGGCTTTAATCCAGGACCCGCCATTCAAGTAGTGCTTTTCCTGTGGAGAGCACAGGATGACCCTGAGCCCCAGGCTGCCCCGCATTTGCCGTGTGAGGCTGATAGGGCACCAGCTGTCAGCCCATTTCATTGGCGAGAACACTGAAACCCAGAGGAGCAGGCAGGGCCAGGAGGAGAACCCAGCTCTTTGCATTCCTGGCCCAGTGCCAACCCTCAGACCACGTGGCCCCGTGCTGGAAGGAGGGGCCACCCGGCCTCCCTGGGGTCTCTCAGTAATGCCGGTGTTTGCCTGGCATTATTTAAAGTTCGGGTATCTCGAGCTTTCCGAAAGTAGGTGGCAGGTCTCTTCATCTTTCGAAAGGCCGAAGCGTGGGTCACGCTGGGTCAGGCTCAGGGGTGATCAGACCTGCTCTCCAGGCACACAGAAGGACAGGCACTAGGCAGACAGAGGCCACCGAGGCCATGAGTGTCAGGGGGACCACGCTTTTGAGCTCACGTCTGCCAGGCAGTTCGTGGCCACCATGGCTGTCACAGGGGGCAGAGGGATGCTACATGGAGCTGCCTGGCCCGGGCTTCCGAGCCCCCGTGCGCAGCCCTGGAGCCCCTCCCCTCGCTAACGCAGCCCCCTTCGCCAGGTTGAAGTGTCACAACAAGTGCACAAAGGAAGCCCCCGCCTGTAGGATCTCCTTCCTGCCACGTGAGTCCTCTGCCCTCCCGCCCCCTCCGGACTCGCGGAGGCTGTGGTCCCACCGCTCCCCTGCTGAGGCTCCCCTCCCCCCACCAGCAGTAACCCTTCGGAGGACGGAATCTGTGCCCTCGGACATCAACAACCCGGTGGACAGAGCAGCCGAACCCCACTTCGGGACCCTCCCCAAAGCACTGACAAAGAAGGTAGGTGGGGACAGCGGCCACCCCGGCTCCTGTCTGTGAGGCGCCCCTCCCGCAGAGGCTTGGCCGGCACAGGTGACTGACGCACGGCCCGGGCAGGTGGGGGTGGGCGTTGGGACCTCTCCTTGGCCCTGACTTCACCTTCACGTCCAGCAGTGGTCACGTGGCCACGATCGCCGCCCGCGGGGCTTCTGCCCTCCGTGTTCCCTTCGCCCCCACAGACGCTCTGAAGGGCATGAGCTGGTGTTACCCCAGTGTGCCGAGGACACTGAGCCTGGGGCCCCCCAAGAGCAAGAGGCAAACTCAGGGTGCCAAGGCCTGAGCCCAAGGTGGCAGGAGCCCGTCTGCCAGGACAGGCCTGCCCACTCCTGTTGTCCTGCTTTAAATGCCCACGGCCGCACCCTTCACCCCGCGCTGCCCGGCACACACACATGGGTTGGTGGCTGTGAGCTGACTTTGCGAGGCTCCTGGACCGAACACAGGGACCCCTGAGCACAGAGGTCTCTTCCTGGCTTCTCAATGTGCCAAGGGCAAGGCCTCCATCAGGGCTGCCCTGCAGCGCCTGCACCGCCTCCCCGACAGCAGCCGGTCCCCTCTTTAATGCCTGGGGCAGAGCAGGCCCCCTGCCAGCCGCCAGCCAGAGGGCAGGTGGTGGCTGGCCGGTTTCAGCTCTGTGTGTTACACTGATTGCCTTCTCCCTGTGCTGAGTGGTTTTTCCAAGCATGATAGCGATGACTGCGTCAAGTGAATTCTCGTAAGTAAACCGTGACTCACACGGGGCCTGCTTCAGACAGAAACCACCAGGTCGCTCCGCACCCTGTCAGCGGCCTGGCAGCAAGGTTGCGGCAGCAGCTCCCTCCCCTCCCCCCCACCCCGCCCTGGGTGCTACCACGATCCCGCTTCAGAGCTCAGCTCAGGGGCCCAGGGAGGCGAAGGACTTGGCCCTGGGCACAGGCGTTGGCCGTGGAGTCTGGCCGGATCCCAGCACAGAGACCCCTGTGAACTGCACCAGCATCTCATGGCTGAGAGCCAGAGCCAGGGAGAGGATGTGGCAGCGAGCCCTGGGGAGGAGGAACGGGGCGGGGGTGGTGAAAGGCATTCGCAGGGGCAGAGGGTGGGGAGGAGACCCCAGCCCGGGCTTCTGCAGCTTAGAGGAATTCGACAGGAGGTCTTATCCAGCTTCTGCAGCTCTTAGCTGGTGACTGTGGGCAACTTCCTTCACTCCTCTGGGCCTCCACGTCCTCAAATGGAAGTAGCAACTCCTGTGCCAGGGCATGGTGGCCCGGAGACGCGACAGATGAGCGTGCAGTGCCCCGCAGGTGCCTCCTAAGTGCTTGCCCCACTCTTTTGCAGACCTGCTAGCTGGGACCACCCAGCAGCTTGGCCCTAGCAGGGCCAAAGGCCCACCCGAGAGAGGGCTGCAGGGGGCATCTGTCTCAGGTGGGGCCCTGGATCCAACCAGTGCGTCCCAGACCCAAATGCCAGTTCCTCAGCAGGTGGGAAAGGAATTCCTCGGCCAACAGACACTGGGCTCCTTACAGCTCTGAAATTCTTAACGCTTCCAAGGTGTGTGCCGGCAGCAGCCCCAGCCACCGCCGCCTGCAGGGTCTGCAGTGTCCTGTGGGTTCTGGGAGTCCTCCGTTGACGGGACTTCACTGGGGACAGCAAGGTTTGCAGAGACGAACCCTGGGTGCCTCTGCTGTCCCACAGCAGAGCCCATGGCACATAGTAGGCTGAACCGTGGTCAGAGGCTGAGCTGTGGCGAGCACCCTGCCCACACAGGATGCACGGTGTTGGGTAGTGGAGAACCTGTAGTTACAATGCCCTGCTGAGTGGCTGGGAGCTATGGGCGGATGAGGAGGAGGAGCCTGGCCTCAGCCCGTCCTCAGCGAAGCGTGTTTGTGCTGAGCTAGGAAGGGTGAGGGAGGCCGTCTGTGCGCCACCCTGCCTGAGGATGAGACTAAAGGTCATCGTCAGGGACAGAGGGGCCCCGGGCAGCACAGCCCCACCCACGCCCGCGGCTCTGGTCCTGCAGGAGCATCCTCCGGCCATGAACCACCTGGACTCCAGCAGTAACCCGTCGTCCACCACCTCCTCCACGCCCTCCTCGCCGGCGCCCTTCCCGACGTCCAACCCCTCCAGCGCCACCACACCACCCAACCCCTCACCTGGCCAGCGGGACAGCAGGTTCAACTTCCCAGGTACCACGCCTCCGGGCTTTGCCCAGCCCTCAGGGCCGGGGTCAGACCCCCCTTCTCAGCAGACCCCGGCAGGCTCCAGGTCCAGCCCTGCTGGGGCCACTGGGAGCTGCCCCTCCTGGAGCGCTTGCCGGGGGGCCTCCAGCACGAAGCCCTGGGCTGGATGCTGCGGCCACACCCATTTACCAGATGGGGCCCCTGAGGTTTGGGACAGGGAGCAGCTTGCCCTGTGCTGAGGAGCCCATAAGCGGCAGAGCCAGTGCTGACGCTCAGTGCCTGTGACACAAAGCCTGGGTTTGTCGCAGTCTCCGTGTCTCCCCCCAGGACCAGGCCCTGAGCTCGCGGGAGGTGCTGCAGGCACGGGGCAGGGATCTGGGCCCCAGCGCCCATCTGCTCTGTGAACAGGGAGAGCTCTCCCTCCCTTTCTGTAGAGCAGGGAGACCACCGCAAGTGGGAATTCGGTGGTCCCCACTGTGGAAACGAGAGCGTGCGTCCTGCAGGTGGAGTGGAGCGGGCCTCTGGCTTGGCTGCCCCGAGGCGTGGAGGGAGGTGTCGCAGTGCCGGCCTGCCCTGCCCTCAGCTGCCGCCACACTGGCCGGCACTGCCTATCGGGAGCCCAGGGAAGTGGCTCTGCCGCGGCCTCACGGTGGGGCTCAGCCTTTGTTTGACTGTAGTCCCGGTCCGGGTCAGGCCCCGTCACTGGGTCCTGGAGTTCCAGGTGCAGCTCTTCCTGTGCCAGGAGACTGGGGACTGGGGCCACACAGCCAGCAGGAGGCTGGGCCGCCTCTCTGTGCCCAGCTTAGCAGGGCCCCTGGCGTTTTGTGGGACTTCCTCTTTTTCGCCTGTCCCTTTGCCTTCACGTGCACGCACTGGCCGTCACGCACTTGAACGCATCAGCAGAGCACCGCCACCCCTCCCATGGCTGAGCCGCACCCCTTGATTAACCTCCCCGCCCCACCCCCGCCCCACGCCCCTGCCGGTTTGACACTCCGAGGTCATGCCTCTTGCTGCAGCTCCCGAAGGGAAGGGAGCCTCAGACCAGCGAAGCTTCTCCACTCTCCCTGCTGTCCCTGGACCAGGCCTCATTGTCCCCTGTAGACGCCTCTCTCCATCCCTCTTTCTGCTCCCGGCAACACCAAGGGTGCCAGCCCCCTGGGGTCGGGCCAGCCCAGTGATGGGGAAGGAATGCCTCCTGGGGGCCCCCTGGCTCTGTGCTGTGCCTTGATCCTCAAGGATGACCTGGGAGTGGGCTACACATCACCGCCCTTAGAGGGACGCAGCTGGCGAGCCAGCCAGCCCCTGCCTGCCCAGGGCCCAGAGTCTGGGAGTCAGAACACTCCGCCCTGGCCTCTAGAACCCCACTGCGTCCCGTGCAGTCCCACTTAAGGGAGAAGTTGGGTTTTTGGGGGGGCCGCAGGTAGGAAGAGGTGAGGAGACACGGAGAGGGGGCCGTCCTCTGCAGAGTCCCCGTGTCCCCCCGGGTGTGCAGCCCTCCTGGGCTCACGTGTATTTCACAGAGAAGGGCATTGGCCGGGCTCTGCGGCAAGGTGGCCGCGGGGCTGGGTCTCGGGACCCCCAGTCCTCTGTGCAAACCCCTCATCCTGGGGTTCCTGCCAGTGCCCGTCTTTCCCCTGCTGCTCCCGCCTCCCTGCATGGCTGTGCCTGTCCCTGCCAGGCCCCCTGGGGTGGGGCAGGTGGGACCAGGCTGTCCTAGCCCAGTAACCAGCCTCTGCATTTGCCATTCTCTGTGTGTGAGACTCACCTCCTCTTCTGTTTAAAGCTGCCTACTTCATTCATCATAGACAGCAGTTCATCTTCCCAGGTGAGTCTTTTGCATGGCCCCACTAACTGCCCCTTGGCTGTGACCCCCTTCTGTCCGGCTCACCCAGGCGCCCTCTCCCTCTCTGTGTGCCCATCCATGGAGGTGCTTGAGTGTCCCTCCACCTGCTTTGAGAGCTGACTACACATTGAGGCTGGGCAGGGGGCAGGGCATGTGTCCTGGTGATGGGCAATGCCCTTACCACGCTGTCCTGCACTGACACTGCGGTCCATTTGTTGAAGGTCACACAGCTGGGAGGTGGCAGGACAGGGCTATAACCCTGGCTTGCGGAATGGAGAGATAGGACTTCTGGCTGATGCTTTAGAAGCATCTGTCACCCTGTCATCCCTGCATAATGACACTGGACCTGTCTTAGAGAAGAGATGCAAGCTGAGTAGGTTTGCAGGCTCCATGTGTTCAGCGGGCTTCCCTGTGCCTTACTGCACAGTGCCATCTGCTGGTCATCATTGGAAATGCCTCCTTATGGCAGAGTTGAAAACTGTTGGGTTCAGTAAGACAATCCGTTGATTCTTTTGCACACGTGCCATGTGCCAGCCTTTACACTTGACCATATCCCAGCCTTGAAGGAGTTGATCAACTGAAGGTGGTGACATGCTGGCTGTAAGGTGTTTCAGACAGCCTGTAGCTAACGGGGTGCCTCCAGGTAAAGCAACCTCCTTTTGCAGCCACAGAGGTCTGGTCATCGCAGGACTTCCTGTTCCCCAGCCTGGCTCTCTGAGAGGGCTGGCTTGGAGTGTTATGGCTTTGCCCGGGCACGTGGAGACTGGCAGCCGTCAGGGGCCTGGGGCCTGCCCCGTGGAGGCTCCTGTGAGTGGCTGGGCACCTTAGCTCTGGGACAGGGGACTACCCCAGGGCACTGGGGAGACATGGCTCTTCTTCCAGAAGGGCCTGTCCCGCCCGGAAGCTATGTCCAGGGGAAGGCAATGTATTCTTGTTAAAAACGTGGGCATGTCTGGGCACAGAATGCACAAAGCTCTCAACCTCTACGGCAAAGGATGAGTCCAGAGGCGTTTTGTCTTCCCTCTCGGGTGTTTCTTCTGCACACTCCTCCCCCAGGCGGGCGGTGTCCCTGCACCCGGGCGCTTGTAGGTGGGGAAATGGGCAGGCCACCACAGCCATCCTGGTGCCAGGGCAAGCCCACAGGCTGGCAGGCACGTGCATGCGTCCCCCTGATAAGAAGCCCCACGGCTTCTATCACGCTCCCCAAGTCTGCGAGGTCCCAGAGGCCTCAACTTCTGGCCCCATGACCTTCAGAGGTCACTGTGGAGGAAGCCACAGTAGGGCCAGGAAGCGCTGGGGAGGGAGGGACTGTGTCCAGGAAGGCAAGAGAGAAGCTGTTACAGCTTGAGTCACTGCCACGCGTGGGCTCTCTTGTTGCTGAAAGGGGGGTCATGGGCAGCCACACCCATCCTGGGCGCCTGTGGCACTGCGGTTCTGCACAGCGGTGACCACGGGTCCTGCTGTCCCTGCGTGCGGGATTTCCTGTGCTCGGACAGGGACCCACACACATCTGGGCCATATCTCGCGCCCCCTGCTGGACAGACTGTGAGCTCTTTCCCTCGCACCCCAAACCCAGAAGCCCAGGGGGTGGGGCCTCTGCCCTGGAGACCCTCAGCCTCACTTGAGCCACCTGCAAGTCCTGTCGGCCACTCCGCCGGCCTGAGTGAAGGAGTCTCTTTGCTTTGTTTTATTACTATTATTATTATTATTATTATTATTTTATTTTTATTTGAAAAAGAGAGAGATCGTCCACCTCTTGTTCATTCTTCAAATGCCCACAACAGCTGTGGCCGGGTCTGGCCAGAGCCAGAGCCAGGAGCCAGGAACTGCATCTAGGGCTGCCTCCCATGTGGGTGGCAGACAGCACTTGGACCGTCACCCTCTGCCTCCCAGGGTGCACGTCAGCAAGGAGCTGGATCAGAAGCAGAGCTGGGGCTCAGACCCAGGCAGTTGGGGGTGGGAGGCAAGCGGTGTCTTAACTGCTGTGCCAGACGCCCGCCCCCATCTCTACCTTCAAAGGTGGTTACGGCCAGCCCTGCCACCCCACAGAGGGACCCTCCCCCAGAGGGGCCGCTCCGCCCATGTGGCTGCTACACACTTGATGCAGGGGCAGTTGGGCCACAGGGGACAGGTGTTGGCCTGGGAGTCTCCACCCCCGCCCACCGTCCTTCCCAGACCAGAGCTGTGTGGGCAGAAGCAGGCGCCACTGGTGCTGAGCCCACGGAAGGTTCCGGGGGGAGCACAAGTGGGACTGGTGGGGGTGGCAGACGCTGAGGTGAGGGGCGGCCCCCCGGGCTGCTGGGTGTCAAGCGTGGGTCTCGTGGGGCTTGGAGAGGTGGGCTCATGCTGTGTCCGCTTCCTGTTTCCTCCAGACATCTCGGCCTTCCCGCAGACAGCGCCGCCCCCCGACACAGCCGACGGTGACCGGTAGGCATCCCTGTCCCCCGGTCCCACCTGTATGGCTCTGGCCTGGCCCGAATGCTCCTCAGGCTAAGTCGCCCGAGCGTTGCCTCTGCCTGCCCGTGGGGCACTCGGCACCAGGGGGCTGCGTTTTGTCACCCGGGACTGGCAGACGAGAGCCCTGCTTTCCCCCATGGTGCTGACCCCACTGGAGAAGGTGGCAGGCTGGGGGTTAAGGCACCACCGAAGGTCCCAGGGCCGGCTCTATTGGGGGGTGAGGCTGTCAGAGGCCCGGTCTGTGCCTGTGCTCTGGCACCATGTCCCGAGTGCCAGGTAGGAGAGGGGCCGTGCTGGTTACCGCCCAGCTCATGTGCCCAGCTCGTGTGCCCATCCATCTCAAGACAGCCTGGGGAGGGCTGAGGCCAGAAAGGGCCCGCCCTCTGCCTCCTGCCTGTTTGCCTTTCCCACTGCTGGGAGAGTCCGTGCCCTGGCCAGGCCTGCTGGCTTCTTGCCCCCGCCCGGCGCAGAGCAGAGCAGCCCTCCCTCGGGGCCTCCTTGACCAAGGCTGCTTTACTCTTAGGCCCGACGAGCAGCCTGGAGCCGACGTGGACACACTGGAGGCTCCTGGAGCGGAGGTGAGTAGGGTGACGCACAGGGGCTCTCTCTCTGCTCCCCGCCCTCATCTCAGAGCCCTTGGGGGTCTGGGGCTGAATGGGTGCCCGGCAGCTACAGACGCAGGGAAGGGTGGTGAGGTGTGCAGCACAGCCAGCTTCCCCTTGCATTGCTGTTTTTGACGTTTAATTCCGACCCTGGCCTGGGAGACTGGTTCAGTGAGTGTGGGAGGGGCAGGAACTGGTGATCCCGATGATAGCCAGGACCGAGAACCGCTGTTTGGACCCTTGACCAAAAGTGTTGGCTGAGCCTGGGCCCCGGCCACACAGTATGGCACGGCGAGTTTTGAAAGAGTTACAGAGAGAGAGAGGGAGAGACAAAGAGATCTTCCGTCTGCTGGTTCACTCCCCAGATGGATGCAATGGCCTGGGCTGGGCAAGGTCAAAGCCAGAAGCCAGGAGCTTCATCCCAGCCTCCAATGTGGGTGTCAGGAACCCAAATACTTGGGCCATCTTCCGCTGCTTTTCCCAAGCCATCAGCCAGCAGGTGGATAGGAAGTAGAGTGGCCGGGACTCCAACTGGTGCCGCATTGCAGGCGGCGGCTTTCCTGTTACGCCACAGCACCAGCCCCTTCCCTAAGTGGTAGACGTTCCTGTAGGTAGACCTTGGAGTGTTAGCAGCACGCAGGGCAGTGTGCTCGCCTGGGCCCGCTGGCACGTTTCGTGGATGAGAACGCTGAGGCCCGGTGCAGCCAAGTGACAGACGTGTCCCCGGTGCACGGCAGGCCAGCGCGGAGCTGCAGCTGGAGCCAGTGCCTCTGTCCCCGTGCATCTCACCCATCTCCCGGGGAGGTCTCCAGGAAATGGCCGAGAAGTGGCCGCGCCCAGACCTGCCGCCCTCCCCATCCCCCCGCTTCCCTTTCAGGCTGAGGAGCCGGAGGCGGGGAGGTCAGAGGCCGAAGATGACGAGGACGAGGTGGACGACCTGCCCAGCTCCCGGCGGCCCTGGCGCGGCCCCATCTCCCGCAAGGCCAGCCAGACCAGCGTGTACCTGCAGGAGTGGGACATCCCCTTCGAGCAGGTGGAGCTGGGCGAGCCCATCGGGCAGGGCCGCTGGGGCCGCGTGCACCGGGGCCGCTGGCACGGCGAGGTGGCCATCCGCCTGCTGGAGATGGACGGCCACAACCAGGACCACCTGAAGCTGTTCAAGAAGGAGGTGATGAACTACCGGCAGACGCGGCACGAGAACGTGGTGCTGTTCATGGGCGCCTGCATGAACCCGCCCCACCTGGCCATCATCACCAGGTACCCGCCTGCCCGTCCCCCGGAGCCCCGTCACCTGGGTGAATGCTGGAGGGTGTGCCCGTGTCCAACAGAGACCCGCAGAGGAGAAAGCCCAAAGCGGGCGTGAGTGCCCCGCGGCCGGACCCCACCGACGGGAAAGCGTCATGACCTAAGAGGACGCCTTCTCGGGTCAGGGAGAAGTCGACGGTCCCAAAAGTTGCACAGTCGGAGCTCCCAGCCCTGCAGGGCGCTTCCCCCTGGCACAGGCACTGCCACTGTGCGTCCCCTCCAGGAACACGCAGAGGTTTGCCCAGCTGCCCTCTATAAACACGCCCCCCGGTCCTGCTGGGGCACGCCTCACTCTTGTCACGGACCCTGCGCGGTGCTCTCAGCACACGGCTCCCCCGCGGGCTGTTTGGCAGTGTGGGGAGTGCGCCCCGAGGCATGGGCAGGTCCTGCGTGTAACCCTGCCCCACCTGCAGAGTGAGGCCACCAGCGTGACGTGAGTGAGAGCAGAGCCCCGTGGCTGGGCCCTGGCGTCTCAGGAGCCGATGTCAGGGCTCCCACTCTGTCTAAGCAGCGCTCCTCGCCGCGTCCTAGCAGACTCGCTCATTCTCGACTTGAGTGAGGGCATGGTCTGGGCTGGCTCGGGGTGGGCATTTGTAACCGCCCGTTTCCACCCCAGAGGGGGTCCGTCAGCTCCCCTACCCCTCCGCCCCGTGTCCAAGAGTGGCCCTGTGCCCGGAGCCCCAGGGGCTGTGAGACGGAAACCTGTCTGCTTGTGGCATTTAAGAAATCGTTTACTTTGAAAATCAGGGAAAGTAACTTGAGGTCGTTAGAGAAATTGGGGGTTTGCAGAAAATTTGAGAAGACACTAAAACTCGCTTTAATTCCTTCAGCCCAAGAACCCTTGTGGTCATTCCCCGTAGCTGGATCCTGCCCTTTGAAAAGAGCTCTCTTCTCAAACTTTGTCAAGCAAGCAAAAATGGGTTGGCGTTTTGCTTACTTATTAGAGACAGAAGCCACACCCACCAGGTCCGCTAAGCCTCGCGATGACGCCACTCCTCCTGAGGCAGAATTAGGGATCCTGACCACGGTGCCCGGCTCAGCCACCCCAGCAGCCCCCCGTGTCACCCTCCTTCTGTCCATCCTCCTGCCTCCCTCCCTCTCTCACCTCTTTCCAGAAGACACCGTAGTGCCACAGTGAGACAGCACGCACAGAGGTCTTGCACGTGTGTTAGAATACACTGAGGAAGGAGGGGCCCAGGCGGGGAGACCCGGCCCCCCCCCCCAGCTCTCAGGCGCCTGGAGACCCTTCCTAGAAGCCAGTCCGGCACCAGCTGGGGCGAGCCCGCCTCTCCTGGGTCCTGACTGATGCACGCTCCATTTCCAGGATCACACGCCTCCCCCTTCCTCCTCGTACACCCCTTCACTGTAAGAAAAGGGTCAAACAAACAATGCATACAGCAATGGGGCTCTCCACAGCGAGCCCCTGACCCTCCGTGCTGTCCGACCACAGCCCCGAGAGGCTGCCTTCTTCCCGTCTGAGTTCTGGGGGTTGTGGTGTTGCCTTGAACCTCCTGAGGCTGGGCCGCTCGAAGCTACTGGGAGCTTTGATGAGCTGGGTTTCCTCTTGTAGGGTGTGTGTGTGTGTGTGTGTGTGTGTACATACGTGTACGCATCCATTCATGTGTGTGCACATCCATGTATATATATGCACACGTGTGTGTCCATGTACGTGCATGTGGTATCCGCGTACTTGTGTGTACATCCACGTGCGCGCGGCCAGGCCAGGCCCAGCAGGAATGGGTTCTTTGACCGAGAGTCAACGGGCAGGTGGGTGAGGCCACAGCAGCCCGGACCCGACTGACCCCCAGTACCCCCACAGCTTCTGCAAGGGGCGGACGTTGCACTCGTTTGTGAGAGACCCCAAGACGTCCCTGGACATCAACAAGACGAGGCAGATTGCGCAGGAGATCATCAAGGTAAGAGGGCATCTCCCGCTCGTCCGCTGCTCCTCTCCTGCAGTGCTCCCCGCGTGGGCCCCATCTCCTTCCCGCTGGGCCACTCAGAGCCACCCCACTCACTCAGCATTGACAGATGTGGACCAGGGGTATGGCAGCCTCTAGGCCAGGGCAAGTCCCACCCATAGCGGCCGAGCGACCTGGGCCAGGTTATTTGTCCTCTGTGAGCCTCAGCCCCCTCCACTGTGAAATGGGGCCCCCCATGTCACCCCTGGTTGGGCGGGTGCCAGAATGGAACGCAGTAATCCGAGGAGAGCTCAGTGGACATGGGGCCCGGCCCTTGGCAGGGGTCGGGGTGTGAAATTTCACTTCCGGGGGCACAGGACTCCCGTGTGCTCCTTAGTGCTCTCAGATCCAGGCTTCATGAGACAGGCCTGCAGCTCCACCCAGGTCTTCCATCTGTTGGTTCACTCCCCAGATGGCTGCAACAGCCAGGGCACTGCATGAGGCCTAAGCTAGTAGATCCTTGTGGATCTCCCACAAGGGTGGCAGTGGCCCAAGCACTTGGCCCATCTTCTGCTGCTTTCCTAGGCATTAGCAGGAAGCTGGATCAGAAGAGGAGCAGCAGGGACTTGAACTGGTGCCCATATGGGATGCCAGCGCTGCAGGCGGCAGCTTTACCCACTGTACCACTGCTTCAGCCCCTACTTTTTTCTTTTCTTTGACCATTTTTAAGAAATAATAAATCCATTTGTTGCTTCAGTTAGCAGTAAGCAGCCCCACAGAAAAACCTGGATCCTGGGGGGTGGGCTCCTCCTCCGCTCCCTGGTTTCTGTTGTTTTGGGTGTGAACGCTTTCTCCCCACCAGTGTGCCCCCTTTTCCTGCGTCTTCCATCTCCTGTCTCCCTCCTGCCCTGTCTTCCTCCCCTCCGTTTTGTGGTTATCTCCATGGTGCCTGTGGGCTGACCAAGGTTTCCCCGAGCCCCTTCCACACGGCTGAACTGGTGAATTGTACTTCTGAGACAAAAACTCCCCGTTCCTGCCTCTGGAGGGGCTGGGGGGAGCTGCAGTATCACCACGGCTCCGTTTTTGCCCCAGACATCGTGGGCCCTGCCCCCTTCCCCACTCCTCGGTGTGGGAACACAGGGGCGTCTGAGTACTGAGCCACCCGCACCCCTCCAGGGCAGAGGCGAAAGGTTGCCAAAGGCTTTGGAGCCCCAGAGCCGCAGCTGCCTCTGCTGGCTTGCTGGGTTTCCATCCCGAGGGGCTGAGAGACGGCCCCCTTTCCCCAGCTGGGAGTGCTGAGCCGCGGCCTCTCTGCAGTCCGCGCTGGGGCTTTGAAGGGCAGCTCAGTGGAAAGGGGCCTGGCTTCGGTTGCAGCCGCTGTGGAGTTCCAGGGCTTCCCGTCTTGTCTCTTGACCCTGGCCTTTTGAGGCTGACGGCTGTTTTGTATATAAGGCTCAGAGAGGCACAGCACCTTGTCCTCAGTCACACAGCCTCTTTGGCTCGGTCTGGCTCCTGGGGCAGCCTGAACCTTGGTTTGGTTTGGGAAGGGGACAGGTGGGTCAAGGGCCGTGTGACCTTCAGGACAGAGTTTTGGGAAGGAGCGGGTTTTGTCTTCCTGGAATTCCCAGCCCGCCTCTGCTGGGGGACGATGGCGCCCAGCAAGCTTGGGGGAAGTAGTTATCTCGGAGCAGGGGGTGTGCTGTGTTAGATTTTTCTCTGGTGCTCCCCAGAGGCCTGAGCTCTGTCTGCGTCTGCCTCACAGTTCATTCTGTTTCCTGAACATGTGTGCGTGGCCCGCTTTCCCCTGGGTGTCACCTGCCCGCCCTCTGCCCTAGCATGCCCCCGCCACCAGGGAGACAGGGAGGGGCTGACGTTTGTGTTATCCGAGCACACAGGGACGGCTGCTTTGGCTGTGGCATCGAGATACAGGGGGCTCTGGCCTGGGTGAGACTGTGCTGTGTCAGAGTGCCTTGCCCTTGGTGTTCAGTCCAAACAGTACCCGGTACCAATGAGGAAGTGAGGCCACGTGGCTAAGAGTGCGCTAATGTCCACTCTAACCTGGATTTCAGTGTTGGCCCCAGGCTGCTCCTACCAAAGCACGGCCACCTGGGAGCCTGGGGACCAGAGGGAAGGCCCCAAGTAGCCCCGGCTGAGCCCTCGCCCTGCAGGGAGCAGACACCAGCGGTGCAAATTGAGTGGAGCCCCCAGCTCCTGCCGGACCTCTGTGTCGTTATTTGAAAGGCAGAGTTACAAAGAGGGAGAGGCAGAGACGGAAGTCTTCTGTCTGCTGGTTCACTCCCAAAACAGTTGCAGTGGCCAGGTCTGGGCCAGACTGAAGCCAGGAACCAGGAGCTTCATCTGGGTCTCCCACATGGGTGCAGGGGCACAGCACTTGAGCCGTCCTCTGCTGTTTTCCCAGGTGCATTAGCGGGGAGCTGGATCAGAAGTGGGGCAGCCGGGACTAACCGGCTACACCACAGCGCCAGCCCCCTTTGTGTCTTCACCTGGGTGGCATCACTGCTTCGTATGCCCCGCCCTCCTGCCCCCCCCAACTCTGGGCTACCCCTTGGACCTACCCCGTCGAGGTGGCTGCTCTCAGTGTGGTACAGTGGTGTGGAAAAGCACAGACTCGGCTGCTGGAACCGCGGTGTGGTTTGGGGCTTGGGGCGAGAGGGCTCCCAGCTGTGCAGCACCAGGCTCGGGTTGTCATGATGAGATGAGGGGGTTTGAGCACCGCCTCCAGCCAGGCGTTGTCCCTTGCCCCTGACGCAAGGCTGGCTCTCTCGCAGGGCATGGGCTATCTCCACGCCAAGGGCATTGTGCACAAGGATCTCAAGTCCAAGAACGTCTTCTACGACAACGGCAAAGTGGTCATCACGGACTTCGGGCTCTTTGGGATCTCGGGCGTGTTCCGAGAGGAGCGGTGAGTAGACCAGGAGGTGCTGGCTGGGCATGGGAACCCCACCGCGGCCCGGGCACGCGGGCTGCACGTGGCTAAGAGCAACCTCCCCCCAGGGACAGCCAGGTGCTCCGGTCCCTCGTAGCACTGCGTCCCAGGCTAACCCCTGGGAGACGGGGTCCTTCCCTGACTCCCTGGCTGCTCCCAGCTTTGGCAAGGAACCAGGGGTCACATCCCCAGCATGAGGAGGAGCATCAGATGTTACTGACCCAGATATCAAAGAGGCCAACAGGGGGCAGTGCTCCTCCCGAGCATGTGGGGTGACCCGCCGCCACCCCAGAATGCCAGAGACCTCCCAGCTGGCGTAGAGAGCCGGGCCCTGCCAGGCCCCGTGCTCTGACCACTTTCCTAGAAAACCTGGCTGTGGCTCTGCAGCAGCGGCCCCCAGTGCCTTTGCGAGTGCAGAGTCCGCATGCTGTTGCTGCTTCGTGTGTGGTGGACTCTGCTGCCCCCTGGGGCAGTAATGAGCCAGACGGGCCTGTGCTGCCTGCCTGAGGGCCTGTGTCCTGTGCTGGTGCCCCGGCCCGCAGGCGTGAGAACCAGCTGAAGCTGTCCCATGACTGGCTGTGCTACCTGGCGCCTGAGATCGTGCGTGAGATGACGCCCGGGAAGGACGAGGACCAGCTGCCGTTCTCCAAAGCTGCTGACGTCTATGCGTTCGGGTGAGCGGCTCCGGGTGCTCCGGGGCCGGGGGAGGCGTGGGCTGAGCTGTTCTGAGCCTGGGCTGTGGAGTGAGAACAACCCTGGGTATGAGTCGTGGCTCTGCTGCTTGCTGCCCAAGCGACCACGTCCTTGACCTTCCGTTTCCCCACCCGTAAGACGAGGGAAATCATAGCACCTCAGACACCACCCCAGAGCACCATGGAGTGCCTGATGCTGGGCTCAGGCTCATCCGCTGGCCCTCGGGGTGCTCCCCTTAACCCCCCCACCAGCCTGGGAGCACTGCCTGTCTTGCCAGTGGCCTCAGGTACACCACGGGGTGCAGGATCTACAGACAATCCCATGAGCCCCATCCATGGGCAATGTTGAGAAAGAAAAGGAAGCAGATGAAGTGAGTTTTGAAACTTTTTACCTAACCCAGCACATGGAAAAAATATTTCCATCTCAGTATAACATCAACAAAGCAAACTCCTGAGATGGTGCATTACACCTGCCGCCCCTTCAGGTGTCAGTGACAGCCTCTGGGACAGTGCGTGTAGGGGGCGGGGCTGCCGGCCACCTCTCAGCCTCACTCCAGTCTCTCGGGGTGTCCCTCCTACTGGGTCACTTTCCCAGTACCAGGTGCACTGGCAGTCTTGGTCCTGGGACATCTGTCACCTTCCTTAGACCAGCATCTTACAGCTCGATCATGGCAGGGCTGGCCTCCTGCCCGGGGCGCTCTGATCAAGCCTGGCTCCCACAGCAGAGGCCGGAGCGCGGAGCCCACCTCCTCCAGCATCCCCAGTGCCTCGAGGGGGAGAAGGGCCGGAGAAGGTTCCTCACGCCCTGCCCGCAGGACCTCAATGTGTGCCGTGCAGGAAGGTCGGGAGCTCACCTGGGGGTCCGGGTCTCTGCAGGACCATCTGGTATGAGCTCCAAGCACGGGACTGGCCCTTCAAGACCCAGGCCGCCGAGGCCCTGATCTGGCAGATTGGAAGCGGGGAAGGAATGAAGCGCATCCTGGCCTCCATCAACCTGGGGAAGGAAGTCAGCGTGAGTAGCCGCAGGATGTGGGGCGGCAAGGGGCCCTGCCACCCAGAGGTGTCGGGATAGAGTCAAATCATACACGCTGCAGTGGGCGTCGGGTGCAGGGCTTAGCTACTGCTTACAAGGCCCCTGCCCCATGCTGGAGTGCCGGGGTTCAGATCCGGCTCCATCCCCGACGGTAGCTTCCTGCTAGTGCACATCCTGGGGGCAGCGGGTGATGGCTCGAATACCTGAGTCCCTGCCACCCTAGAGGGAGATACGGGCTCCTGGCTTCTGTCTGGCTATTGTGTGCATTTGGGAAGTGAACCCGCAGCTGAGACATCTACCTCTGTCTTTCAAATAACACTCCTTAAAATACAGTGAGGTTATGCTGTGACATCAAATCTTTAGAACGCTTTTCTTTCTTGACTGTTCTTGAAGTTTCCATGGCAAACTTGGCAGTTTATGACTTCTCACTGCCGGACAGATTCTCTCGAGTGACTGCTCTGCACTTGCACACTTCCTTGTCACGGTGCAGTCACACGGGAAGATGTCAGGAATCGGTGTTCTCGGTGTGATTGGTGACAGCTGTGTGTTCCTGAGTCCCAGGACTGGGGCAGAACAGCTAAGAAGTTCCCATGGCATCTGTGGCTGCCCAGCCCGGGTCCAGGTTGAGGTCTCTCTGGAGGCGGTTCTTGTCATGAAGCAGGTGGGCAGGACCCCTCGTGCACCCTCTGCACAGGCCCGGGACTGATCCATCGTCTCCCTCCAGGATCCGTCAGCTGAAGGCTCACAGAGAGGTTCCGTCTGAGCCACTGTGTCCTCTGGTGGAAGTGTGGAATCTGCAGTTCCACTCCTCCCAGAATGCCTTCGGGGTGCTGGTCTCCAGCGCCAGCAGCGGGCTCTCCGTGGTGGGCATCAGGGAGCATGTGGAGACCCCCCTGACGCTCTTGGGCTCTTGGACCACGGCCAGCTGAACTCGGCTCCACAGTGGCACAGCCGTGGGCACCTTGGGAGGAGAGTGCTGGCACTGCTTTACGCTTTGAGGCACTCGGGAGTTCATAATTTTATCTAAGGATTTGGGCATGTAGGGCGAGCTCCAACAGCCAGAGGGGCTTACGCTGTGCCCCAGGCGCTCAACCCTGGTCAGCTTTCTCTTGGAACAGTTATTGTGGAAGTTGATGTGTGTCTCCGTGGTTATGTATTCCATTCTGTGTCTGCAAGCAATTGGACAGTGAGCAGCGTCTGTGCCGTTAGGGTGACTGAGTGCCAGCGGCCGTGGGCAGGCAGTTCCTGGGATTACGTCATTGTCACCTTGGGTTCTCCTCTTCCACTTCCGTTAATCAAAGCCTCAGTTTTGTCGTCTACACAAGGCTTCCTTGCACGGTTTTAGGTTTTACCAGTAGTGTCTAACTGCCTTTTTTCTTGCTGCAAGAACACTTTCATCTTATTCATGGAGCCTTTAGCTCCTTCTGCGTTCTCCTCATTGGGTGGAGTCTGTTCTGTTCATTTCTGTGGTCTGAACCAGTGGGTCCTGGGCCTGCTGTCCTGTGTTCAGTCGGACTTGGGTTACTGGCACTGTTCTCTCTCGTCTTCCTCTCTACTTGCACTCCGGCAAAGTGAGAGTGAATCCTCCTCTCGGTGGATGCATGAGAAGTCAACTCTGAACCTTTGCCTGCCTAACGCAGTCACTGTGGTGGCTTCATGCCAGGACTCTACACTGACAGGAATACAGGGATCCTGGGGCCAGCGCCGTGGCTCACTTGGTTAATCCTCCGCCTGCTGTGCCGGCATCCCATATGGCCGCCGGGTTCTAGTCCCAGTTGCTCCTCTTCCAGTCCAGCTCTCTGCTGTGGCCCAGGAGTGTAGTGGAGCATAGCCCAAGTGCGGCACCTGGCTCCTGGCTTAGCATAGCTCCAGCCATAGCAGCCATTTGCGGGGGTGAACCAACGGAAGGAAGATCTTTCTCTCTGTCTCTCTAACTCTGCCTGTCAAATAATAATAATAATAATAATAATAAAATAATTCAGGGATCCTGCTCTGCTGTGGGTTCTCTCTCTCCACCTTTTGTTGCCCTTGTTCTTTGTGTACGTGCGCAGGACCTGTGAAACCTCAGATGAGCAGAGCAGAGGCTGGTTGGCGGCTATTTTCTCTTTCTTCAGTGAGCAGTGAAAGTTCCTGTTTCCTTTGCAAGTTTCTGGCAAAATTTGCTTTTATTATTCCCTTGATAATTTCTTACCCTGTTATTTGTTTTCTGTTTTGGGAATTCCCATTAAAATTCAGTCCTTCCTAGCGAGCCTCTGTATCAAATACAGAAATACAGAATCTTGTATTTTCCGGGCCGGCGCCGTGGCTCAATAGGCTAATCCTCCACCTTGCGGCGCCGGCACACCGGGTTCTAGTCCCGGTTGGGGCGCCGGATTCTGTCCCGGTCGCCCCTCTTCCAGGCCAGCTCTCTGCTATGGCCAGGGAGTGCAGTGGAGGATGGCCCAGGTGCTTGGGCCCTGCACCCCATGGGAGACCAGGAAAAGCACCTGGTTCCTGGCTCCTGCCAGGATCAGCACGGTGCGCCGGCTGCAGCGGCGGCCATTGGAGGGTGAACCAACGGCAAAAAGGAAGACCTTTCTCTCTGTCTCTCTCTCTCACTGTCCACTCTGCCTGTCAAAAAAAAAAAATAAAAATAAAAATAAAAATATAAAAAAAATAAAAATAAAAATATAAAAAATATAAGAATCTTGTATTTTCCATCCCTTTCCAAAACTGGGTCTACACGCTGGAGAATTTTCTGGATTTTTATCTTCTATCACTTTGAATGTTTTGATTCAGAAATTATCTTTTCAAGAACTTATTTGTTGATTTGTTTTTTATATGTTTATCTGAGAGACAGAGATAGCCTTCAGCACTGATGGTTACCCGCAACAGCCCAGGGCTGGGCCGGTGCAAACCCAGGAGCCAGGAACTCAAGCTAGGTCTCCCGAGGGGTGGCTGGAGCCGCATTCCCTGGGCCACCACCTGCTGCCTTCCAGGCACCCGTTAACATGAAGCTGGAACTGGAAGCACAGCCAAGACTTGAACCCAAGTACTACACTACGGGGTGCAAGCATCCCAAGTGGTGTCCTTAACCCACGCACACACACGTCCCCTCCAGAGACAGCGTTCTGATCTATTTATCTGTGCAGTCTCTGGCCTCCCTGATACGCAGACAACCCCACGGGACCCAGTCGTATTTAAGAACAGAAGCCCAAGCTGCAAATCCATGTGGCTGTGTTGTGCAAGCCTCCTGCCCAAATCGGAAGGAAAGGGGGGTGCTGTGTCCTCACAGGCAGCAAGATGTCGCAGTGGGACAGCGTCCTGCCGGCCTCGCGGCTGCTCCTGCCCATCAGCCTCCCTGTCACCCCCAGCCTCTGTAGCTAACAGCCCCCACTTCTGGTTTCATTCCCATTGCCGTTCTGTTCAACATGGGTACTGTGCACTCGGCCTTAAGGGCTGGGGGCCAGGAAGCAAAGTGCGGAGGCCAGCTCCTGCACTGTAGGCACGAGCGCTTCTCGGCTCTCACCCTGCCCAGCACAGACCCCGCTGACGCCAGCTCCGTTTGCAGGAGATCCTGTCTGCCTGCTGGGCTTTCGACCTGCAGGGGAGACCCAGCTTCAGCCTGCTGATGGACATGCTGGAGAAACTGCCCAAGCTGAACCGGCGGCTCTCTCACCCTGGCCACTTCTGGAAGTCAGCTGAGTAAGTACCCCTCGCCGAGCCCGACCCTGCCCGCCAGGCCCCGGCAGCTCACTGCCTGCCTCTGTGCCTCTGATTGGAGACTCCCTTTGTCAGGCTTTAAAACCTTCAGTTTGCATCTGTGAAAAATTACAAATCTCTTTCAGACCAGCTCCGACACCAGCACCCCTCCGGAAGGGGCGGAGGGGGCCAGAGCACTGGGGTGGGTGTGGTGCGCTGATGCGGGTGGGCTCTGCCCACGGCCCCCGGCCCCTGTGCCGCCACACTCCCCTCTCCTGCATTGTCTGTCCCGGGCCTGCTCCCACCCTCCGCGAGGATCTGGACAAGGCCTGTCCTCAGAGCCCTGCTTTCCTTGGCTGTACAAAGCAGGTGTGGGACCCGATCTAGGGCCGTCAAGGGCCAGGTCAGAAATATTTCAAGCTTTGCGAGACATAAGGGAAGTGCAAGCAAGCTCTGTGTCCGTCACTGTGACTCAGCCGTGCACCTGTAGCGCGGGAGCAGCCGCACACACCACGTCAGCCAGGAGCTGGCCCGTGCCCCTCACACGCCGCCATGCGAATCTGTCTCCTGCAACTTTCACACTCACAAGAACTGCTTTTCCCCAAACCACTTGTGGGTTGCGCCGAACCAGGTGCAGGCTGGACTCCCGGAGGAAAGGGGTGGCTTTGAGGCCCAGGACACTTTCTAAAAGACCTCGTGAGGGGAGGCCGGCCCACTGGTTACCCAAACCCAGGGCCAGCGTAGGCAAACTCACCTAAGAGAGGCGGCAGACGTGGCTGGGCAGGGCCAGTGGCAGGGTCCAGGAGGGCTCTAGCTCCCTGCGTCATGTCATGTGCAGTGTTTTGCTGTTTGGAGGGATTCAAGTCCCCTCCCCTACAAACACAGAGCGACAGAATCTACTCATTAGAGGCTGGCGTTCTTACTCCACCACTGCTGCACACCTGCTGTGCGCCCAGGGAGACACAGACGGCCAAGGCTGGGACTCCGCCCACAGGGAGTCTGCAGTGTTAGGAGGCACAGACAGGCAGGTAGCCACTGCCGCGGTGGAGCCTCTGTGGGGCCACACGCAGACTCGTCACTCCTGCTTCACCGGCCCCAGGAACACAGCAGTCGAGGCAGTGACTGCCATGTGTTGCATTCCGTGACAAAGCCCAGGGCTCCCCTGGGACCCCAGGGCGAGGGGAAGGGTGTCCAGGTGAGGGATGATGGAGCTGGCTTTGAGCAGGAGCCACCCCAGCGGAGCCCGTGGGCCCCTTGGTTAACAACCTGGGCCCTGGTTTTCCCATCCATGAAAGAGAAGGCTGCACTAGGTGGGCGCTGGTATCAGGAGAGGATTCCAGTTTCCTAAACGCCGGGGGTGCACCCTTTCACCTCAAAGGCGGGAAACGGAGTCACACATGGGGGGTGGGGGAGGAGGGTGCTGCCTGCCCAGGACCCTCAGTTCCAGCGAATGAGTCTCTCCACACCCACTGGTCACAATGTCCACATTTCCACTGTCTGCTCGTCTCTAATTCTCATTTTCTCTTTTCTTTCCCATTGGTCTTGTGGCGCTTTGTTCTGGGGGGCGGCGGATGTGCTGGCCTGGCCGCCGTCCTCCCCTTTGCTGCTGTCCTGACTCCTCCGCTGTCCACTGGTGCCTGCTGGGCTGGACCGCGCCCTTCCCTCGCCCCCTCCCCGCCTGGCGGACTGCCCCGGGGGCACCGGCAGTCGCTGGCGGAGCCGCTACTCCGGGAAAGGACGATATGGCCACGCCGACTTTAAGAACTGCTGTCCGGTTCTGGAGGAATAGTGTGTTTACTCTTGTTTCCGCTTGTGCCATCCCCAGCGCACCTGCCTCCTGCGCCGCCTGCACCCCAGCTTCCTCGCCTGTGTTTCATTCCCATGAGCGCAAAGTGCCACACGGCCTTGTCACTTCCCTCGGGGGCTCAGAGACCATCACGGCACGCGGCAAGGCCTCAGTGGTGGGCAGAGGGCCCGTCCCTCTTTCTCAGGCTCCAGCCCGAGGGCACCCAGGGAAACGAGGCCAGAGCCTGAGAAAGAATCCAGGGAGCATAGGGCTCGGCTCCCAGGCGCAGGGGCTGTACGGCCGTCTGTCAGTCACAGCCTGCAGCTGCCCTGGGGAAGCTCGGAGACGTGCCCTGTTCCCAGGCCCCCTTCCGAGCCGGCCGTGCCTCTGAGCCCCAGACACCCACAAACTCCGGTTCTGACACGCTCTTCCCTCTTCTCTTTTCCTCCCGTAGGTTGTAGGCCTGGCTGCCTTGCATGCACCGGGGGCTGCTCCCTCCTAATCGACAACTCGGCGCTGAGATTCTACTAAAACGCAAAACAAGACGCGGGCACTAACCCGAGGGACGCCCTCGCTGCCTGCAGCCTTCTCCGCTTGCTCCCCTGTCCACACGGCCCACGTGTGCCGAGTAACCCCCGCAGAGGATCCCACTAACCGGGCTCGCCCGCGAGGCGGTTCCAGCAGCTTCTAACGCCTTCCTGGACGTGACTTTGGTTTCTGTCCTCCTCCTTCCGGGGGCTGCCTTGTTGTGGAGGGGGGATGGGTCTCTTTCCCCTACTAACACCCTCATGAGACGGGTCTCCCGGCCTAGTGTGTTCTGAATGCAGGGGTGGGGGCTTGCCTTGGCTTTGAACCCGTGGGGATCTCGTCCCTCAAGGAGTGCAATGATCTAAGCCACTCAGAGGCCTCTGTGGGGGCTGGGTGCAGAGTTCTGTCGCCATGCAGGACCCCAGCTGCAGAGGCCTGTGTCCCCAGTCACACGCCCCGAGAAGCTGTCCTCATGCAGAGGGTGCCCCAGGCTATTTCAGTCAGGAAAACCAAGCAGCTGCCCCAGCAGGGTGAAGTCACTCACCACTTCCGCCCGTACTCCCCAGACCAGACCCCGAGTCCGCCCTGTGGGCTGCCCACAGTCGGCAGCGCACTGCTCATTAAACACAGATTCTCACCCTGCCCCCAACAAGACCTGCCCAGGCCGGCTCTCGGCCTCTCACCCCGCAACCCAGGCCGCCCCCCGCCACTGACAGCTATTTCTAGAAGGGGCACAACCCTGGGAGCCAGGTCTCTTCTCTCCCAGTTCCACGGGGAGCAAGAGCTTTCCTGGGGTGCAAGTGAGAAGCCAATGTGGAAGAGAGCCCGGGGCGGTGCCTGTGCGTGCTGGTGCCGGGGACTCAGCATGACCAGGGGCCGAGCAATCATTCTCACTTCTTGGTGCGGGCTGGGTCCCCCGCCCGCTTCCTCACAGGTGTCTCCCTCCTCCTCACCCACGCCGGCGGGGCCGTGACCCATGTCTTTGTTCCTCTTTGCAGCATTAACGGCAGCAAAGTTGTGCCCCGCTTTGAAAGGTTTGGCCTGGGGGTCCTGGAGTCCAGTAATCCAAAGATGTAGCCGGCCGTGCAATCTCTGCTCCTGTCTTTGTTTAAAACGTGTTGCTAAAACCCCAGACCTCCACCACGACAGATGGACGCTCTGCCTGCCCAGCGCCATGGCCCGGGAGTGCGAGGAGCCCACTCCGGACTGCTCGTCCACGGAGCCCCAGGCTTCTGGAGCCCGACACACACCACACACACAGCCGCCGCCACCGCACTTTCCCCCGACACGGACGCCACCACCAGCTCACGCTGTACTGAACGACAGCTGACGACACGCGTGTGCCCGCTGCGTGAACTTGATGTTTCACAGTAGGGAATAATTAAAGCAGTGCGTGCAGAGGCGCAGGCCCGCGGCCAGCAGGGTGGAAGTGGCCACTGCTCCAGACGACGCTGCAGGCAGTGAGGGGCCCACACGGCCAGGCAAAAGCGAAGCCTCAAGCCTGAACCCCAGCAGTGGGGCGTCTCCCTGTTAGAGCGATGCCGGCCCCTCCTTGTCCCACAGAGGAAACCCTGGCTAGGAGCCACCTTGGGTGATGGGGTCAGCAGTTCCCAGAGAGCTTGGGTTCCCCTTCCTGGCAGAATCTACCCCACCACAATGTCGACTCCCAGCCATGGTTTCTGCTGCAAGGTGACCAAAGAGCCAGAGATGTGTACATGTGTGCTGCTTGCATGAAGACCCCCGGCAGGCACCAAAGCCATGGGACACAGGGCCTCAGCTCCAGCCACATCCCTGTCCCCGACTGGCGCTGGCGTGAGGGCTGCATGTGTGGAGGCGGGAAGACAGCAGAGGCCCCTGAGCCCTGGAGAACCCTTTCTCCAGTCGCGCCAGGGGCTCCAGAACTGCCCGTCCCGTCCCTGCCCAGCCCCGACTTGTCCGCCTGTGCTCTGAGCTCAGAGCTGTTCTACCCCTTTCCTTTAGACTCACCTAGCAGGTGAGCCTCCCTGTGCCACCAGGCCTCCCACTTGTTCCCCTTTCAGCCAGCAGCAGGGGCTGGGTTTGAGGGAACCTCTGCTCACCCGTCAGTGAGAAAGCGTCCCCCAGAGACAGGTTCCCAGTGGCAGCAAGGGTGCCAGGGCCGGGGCGGGGGGTGGGTGGGGGGAGGGTTAGGCTCCAAATCCGGAAAGCACAAGGGGGTCCGGGAGGGCGTGGGGCCGGCCGGGCGCCTTTCCTCCACGCCAGCACCAGCAAGGCCCCAGTGTTCAGAGCCTGCCCGCCCAGATCCAGGCTGGATCAGCACTGAAATGCGCCCCTCTGCTGCCTCTTGCTCCCCAGGCCAGCACACGGATGCCCAGGCCCTGGGCCTCTTAACCCCTTCCAGCCAGTGCCGAGGAGGAAAGAGCCCCTGTCGGCAGCGGGCTCAGCCCTGTGGGGACTGCATGAGGTCGCCCTCATCCCCAGGTCCCCACGACCCCAAAGCCACCGTGGTGGGGGCAGACCCCTCCCACATACCTGCACCTTCCTACTTCCCCCCGGTGACCCTACTCTTCCCTCGGATGAGAGCAGAGCTGTGGACACGCTGCTCAGTCTCGCGGACTGGACCCTGCCACATGCCCTGACGGTGATGCGGCCCACAAGAACCCAGTATGTGCAGGGCGTTCTCTCCCGAGTACTGCAGCGAACTCGGTCCCTGCCTTCAGGGGCTGGCCGCTGGGAAGCTACTAGGGACACAGTCCCCGTTCCCCTCACAGGTCCCGGCTCTGGGCCTGTCCCCTCCGCACTGCCTGTCATTTACGGAAACCCCGCCCCGGTCCCCCTGCCCTGTTTATTGAAGTAACTGTGAATCGAGGTGCGGAAGACATGCCTGCCTTGGAAACACGTGGAGAATGACAGATACTGTGAATTCAGCCCCCACAGCCAACTGTGAAGGAGGTGGAGAAGGGCCCCCTGGGAGCTTCCAAGGGCTCAGCCCTTCGAGGCACCCCTCGATCCCAGCCTCGCCCCGAAGCCTGTGGCTCCCAAGCTGTCTAACGCAAGGTCTTGAACCAATGCTGGTTCAGAGTTAACTGTGAGCGGCCTGTAGCAAAACTGGCTTCCGCGCGTCACCGGGTCCGAACACCCTCTGCCATCCTGTGCCGCTTCTCCCTGTGCTCACTCAGGGCATCGGAAGCCCATCCTGGGAGGGTCTGGGCAGTGGGGCAGAGCCCGCGCCGAGAGGCGGCTGGGAGCCAGGGCGTCAACAGTGCGTGTAAAGCAAGCCTCTGCGGCCGCAAGGCTCACACTTGCATTTTTTGAATGTGATGTAAAATTTGTACAGGAAAAGTTTTTATATTTTCTATCAACTGCATTTGTCTTCCAGAAATGCTATTAATTTAAATTAAAATGGTTAGTATTAACGAACAAACAAGCCGTATCGCTTGGGTTTTTTTGCCGCTGGCAAGAACACACCTGCAAGCTAGTGAGCCAGTGAATAAGCCACACACATAAAGTCCTGCCAAGGGGCCCTGGCACTCGCACCACAGGCGGCGTCCCCTGAGTGCCTGGGACCGTGCGGAACAGAGGGGTCGGGGTGGGTGAAGCCCCTCTCGGGATTAAGGAACCCCTCCAAAGAAGAGGTTACGCTGGGACCTGGAAGCAGCCGTGTGCAAGGCCCGTGATGTGCCTGGAAGAGCATCAGCCCCTAGGGGGCACAAGGCCCACGCACAACCCCAGGACCCTGGGCCAAGGTGCTCGTCCCATGGCCAGAGCGGCCTTTGCCTTTCAGAGGCAACCTCAGGTCGGGGGGCGGGATGTGGAGCCTCACGTTGCCCGTTAGAACACAGGCCCCTCGGGGGTTGGGGTAAGCAGAACAGGTGGAGGGGAGAGGAGCCGGCTTTGGCGGGGCCCTGCTCGGAGCACTTTCTGTACATGACCTCACCCCATCTCCTCCTCGTCCTCAAAGTGCCGGGCCGGGGGCTGGGGGGATTGGGACTGAGGACACAGGAATACAGCGGAAGGTATTCACCTGAGGCCACACGGCCACAGGTGGCCAGGCCGGGCCGTGGCTCTGACCCTGACCTCCCCCTCATCACAAGACGAACAACCTACTCCCTGGGCACCTACTGTGTTCAAAAGCCAGCACCAAGTCCTACAGTGCTTTCCAGGTTGCACCATGTGGCAGGCCACAAATCTAAGTCGGATTTGATTTTAAAAAGATAAATATCATACAGAATGTTTCCTGTCACCACAATAGGATGCAGTTAGAAATCAGTAACCAGAAATTAGAAAATGCACAAATTCATGGAAATTAAACAATGTACTCCTACCCGGTGCGTCCAAGAAGTCACAAGGGCGGCCAGAGAATACTTGGAGGCAAAAATAAAAATTTATGAGATGCGCAGAAAACGGTGCTCATCGGAGAAACTTAAGGCTTCAGAGGCTTACGCGAAACAGCAAGGAAGTTAAATAACCTTGCTTTGCAAATTAAGGAGCTAGAAGAAGAAACCAGAAGAAAGAAAATGAAGGGCAGACATAAATGGAAAAGCATGTTAGAGGTCATCAGTGAACCCAAAACTCTGAAAAGGTCAACAAAATTGATAAACCGTTAGCAAGATGGACCAAGAATCACATTACTGAAATCAGAAATGAAAGTGGAGGTATTACCACTGATTGTACAGAAATAGAGTTTAAGAGTGCCACAGACAGCTGTGTGCCACCAAACTGGTCCGCCTGGGTGAGCCAGAGAAATTCCTAGAAACACAAAAACTACCCAAGCTAAATCACTAGGGAACTGACAAGGTCAGTAATCAGAACTCTTCAGACACAAGCCCCAGGTCTGATGGCTTCACAAATGACTTTGACCAAACGTTTCAAGAAAAACTAACACCCAAAATTCCAAAACTTCTCTAAGAAACTGAAGAGGAAGGAACACTTAATAGTTCATTCTGTAAGGCCAGCATCACCCTGATACCAAACCCAGGAAAACATCCTACAAAGAAAGAAAACTGGGCCAATATCCCTTACAAACATCGATGTCACAATTGATGTCAAAATTCTCAACAAAGTACTAGCAAATCAGACCCAGCAGCCTATTAAAAGGATTAGTCACAATGACCAAGTGGGATTTATTCCTAGAATGCAAGGTTGGTTTAACACATTGAAAATGATTGATGGGATGCCAGCACCATGGCACAGTAGGTTAATCCTCCACCTGTGGCGCTGGCATCCCATATGGACAAGGGTTCTAGTCCCGGCTGCTCCTCTTCCAGTCCAGCTCTCTGCTATGGCCTGGGAGGGTTGTGGAGGATGGTTCAAGTGCTTGGGCCCCTGCACCTGCATGGGAAACTGGGAAGAAGCACCTGGCTCCTGACTTCAGATCAGTGCAATTCAGGCCATTTCGGCCATTTGGGGAGTGAACCAACAGAAGGAAGAACTTTGTCTCTCCCTCTCACCTTCTGTAACTCTACCTCTCAAATAAATAAAATCTCTTAAAAAAAAAAAGTGATTGATGGGGGCTGGTGCTATGGCGTAGCAGGTAAAGCCACTGCCTGCAGCGCCGGCATCCCATGTGGGCACCGGTTTGAGTCCTGGCTGCTCCACTTCTGATCCAGCTCTCTGCTATGGCCTGGGAAAGCAGTAGAAGATGACTCAAGTGCTTGGGCCCCTGAACCCATGTGGGAAACCCTGAAGAAGCTCCTGGCTCTGGGTTGGCACAACTCCAGCTATTGCCACCATTTCTCTCTCTGCCTCTGCCTCTCTGTAACTCTGCCTTTCAAATACATAAATCTTTTTCAAAAAGTGATTGATGTAATAGACTGCATGAACAGAATGAAGGGGATGAAAGCGCATGATCATCTCAATTGATGCGGAACAAACTTACAGGGGCCGATGTTGTGGCGTAGCAGGGTAAGCTGCCGTCTGCAACACCGGCATCCCACACAAGCGCAGGTCTGAGTCCCCACTGCTCCACGTCCCGCTCCCTGCCTCTGCACCTGGGAAAGCAGTGAAAGCTGGCCCACGTGCTTGCACACCTGCAGCCACACAGGAGCCTGGAAGAAGCTCCTGGTTTTGGCCTGGTCCATTTAGAAAGGGAACCAGTGGATGGAAGATCTTTCTCTCCCTAACTCTGCCTTTCAAATAAATAAAATAAATTCTTTTAAAAATGACAAAAGTGAACATCCTTTCATAATAAAACAACTACAAACAGAAAGAAACTACCTCAAGAGAATAAAAGTCATCTATGAAAACCCACAGCAAACCTCATACAAAGCAGTGAAAGGAAGACCTGGCTTTCCCTTCTCGGGGTCAGTCTGCAGTGGGAGATCTTGTCTCCTGAGTGCTGGTGCTCTAGGGGCTGGCACTGGAGAGGTCTTTACTATAATGGTCTCCAGAGAGCTGCACTTTCTGTGTCCACGCTCAGCCGTGTGTCCTTGCTCTTCCTCCCATCAAGAGTCCCGTCTTCTTTCCCACCCCTGGAACTGGGCTGGTCTGGTGGCTCGCTGTGGCCATACAATGTGGCAGAAGCATACAATTTCTGGGCCAGGAGCCCAGAAGGCCTTTTTGCTTTTGCCGTCTTGCAATGCTCCTGCCTCCCTGTCGGGAAGCCCAGGCTAGGTGCGTGGGAGATGAGACCACAGGATGGCCGGCTCGGCCCCGAGGCTGCAGCCGGGCGAGTACAGGCGCTCATTCACTCGTTCACACCTGCTGGATTTGCCCAAGATGCAGACTTTGGGCAGACAGACGGCGGTTGCTGCGAGTAACTCGGTTTTGGGGTGGTTTGTGGTTACGGTGAGACAGTGCTCGTCTGTCTTAAATGAGGAAATGGATGTCCAGAGGAAGAGGTCCCACACTGTCTCAGAAGCAATTCCTGTGGAGTGTGAGAGCGGCTGCTCACGGCTGGACTGAGACAATGTTGAGATAATGTCCACAGCAGCCCCGACTCGGGACCCGCTGTTACACAGACAGGCCCCCTTTGGGCTAATTAAGAGAGGATGGCTTGCAGGGACATTTTACTGAAGCCACAATACTCATGGCATTATTGAGACCAATGCCCCTGGGGGACAGCGCCCAAGGGCACAGTGATTGCGAGCGTGGTTGGTGAGTTAGGAACGCCCCCCCACTCCACCCCCCTTTGCTGCTTTTCTCAAACCCCTTGCCCCGGGCCTTCAGCACAAGCACACAGAGACTCGCTGGTGGGGTTCAGGGGCCAGGCACTCACATCCGGCAGGGTAGAGCTCCCCCACGTGACCTCACCCAGCTGCAAGGGAGGCTGGGCAGTGGGCTAGCTCTGTCCTTGAGATGGGAGTGAGAGGAGGAGACGCAGGGGCTCGGCAAGCTGGCTGTCTCA